GCAGTAAAAGTAGAACTCAACAACAAAAGTAAAGACAAAAAACATGCAAACAGCTGGAAACTAAATAACTCATTACTTAATGAAGAATGGATCATCGATGCAATAAAAGAGGAAATTAAAAAGTTCCTGGAAGTCAATGAAAATGAAAACACAACCTACCGGAACCTATGGGACACAGCTAAGGCAGTCTGAGAGGAAAGTTTATAGCCATGAGTGCATATATTAAAAAGACTGAAAGATCCCAAATCAATGACCTAATGATACATCTCAAACTCCTAGAAAAACAAGAACAAGCAAATCCCAAAACAAATAGAAGGAGAGAAATAATAAAAATAAGAGCTGAAATCAACGAAATAGAAACCAAAAAAACCATACAAAGAATTAATGAAACAAAAAGTTGGTTCTTTGAAAAAATAAACAAGATCGATAGACCCCTGGCAAACCTGACTAAAATGAGTAGAGAAAAAACCCAAATTAGTAGAATCAGGAATGCAAAAGGGGAGATAACAACAAACACCATGGAACTCCAGGAAATCATCAGAGACTACTTTGAGAACCTATATTCAAATAAATTTGAAAATCTTAAAGAAATGGACAGATTTCTAGATACATATGATCATCCAAAACTGAACCAAGAGGAAATTAATCACCTGAATAGACCTATAACACAAAATGAAATTGAAGCAGCAATCAAGAGTCTCCACAAAAAGAAAAGTCCAGGACCTGATGGATTCTCTGCTGAATTCTATCAGACCTTTAAAGAAGAACTGATACCAACCCTCCTTAAACACATTTTATGAAGCCAGTATTACACTTATCCCAAAACCAGGCAAAGACACCTCCAAAAAGGAGAACTATAAGCCAATCTCCTTAATGAACATTGATGCAAAAATCCTCCACAAAATAATGGCAAACCGAATTCAACAACACATCAAAAAGATTATTCACCACGACCAAGTAGGCTTCATCCCAGGGATGCAGGGGTGGTTCAACATACGAAAATCAATAAACGTAATAAACCACATTAACAGAAGCAAAGACTGAAACCACTTGATCATCTCAATAGATGCAGAAAAAGCCTTTGATAAGATCCAACACATTTCATGATAAAAGCTCTAAGAAAACTAGGAATAGAAGGAAAGTTCCTCAACATTATAAAAGCTATATATGACAAACCTACAGCCAGCATTATACTTAACGGAGAAAAATAAAACCATTCCCTCTAAAATCAGGAACCAGACAAGGATGCCCACTATCTCCACTCCTATTCAACATAGTACTGGAATTCCTAGCCAGAGCAATTAGGCAAGAAGAAGGAATAAAAGGAATACAAATAGGTAAAGAAACTGTCAAAATATCCCTATTTGCAGACGACATGATCCTATACCTTAAAGACCCAAAAAACTCTACTCAGAAGCTTCTAGACATCATCAATAGCTATAGCAAGGTAGCAGGATATAAAATCAACATAGAAAAATCATTAGCATTTCTATACACTAACAATGAGCAAACGAAAAAGAATGTATGAAAACAATTCCATTTACAATAGCCTCAAAAAAATCAAATACCTAGGTGTAAACCTAACAAAAGATGTGAAAGACCTCTACAAGGAAAACTATACACTTCTGAAGAAAGAGATTGAGGAAGACTATAGAAAGTGGAGAGATCTCCCATGCTCATGGATTGGTAGAATCAACATAGTAAAAATGTCGATACTCCCAAAGTAATCTACATGTTTAATGCAATTCCCATCAAAATTCCAATGACATTCATTAAAGAGATTGAAAAATCTACTGAAATTTATATGGAAACACAAGAGGCCACGAATAGCCAAGGCAATACTCAGTCAAAAGAACAATGCAGGAGGTATCACAATACCTGACTTCAAACTATATTACAAAGCAATAACAATAAAAACAGCATGGTACTGGCACAAAAACAGACATGAAGACCAGTGGAACAGAATAGAGGACCAGATATGAAGCCACACAACTATAACAACTTATCTTTGACAAAGGAGCTAAAAATATACGATGGAGAAATAGCAGCCTCTTCAACAAAAACTGCTGGGAAAACTGGTTAGCAGTCTGCAAAAAACTGAAACTAGATCCATGTATATCACCCTATACCAAGATTAACTCAAAATGGATCAAGGATCTTAATATCAGACCCCAAACTCTTAAGTTGATACAAGAAAGAGTAGGAAATACTCTGGAGTTAGTAGGTATAGGTAAGAACTTTCTCAATGAAACCCCAGCAGCACAGCAACTAAGAGATAGCATAGATAAATGGGACCTCATAAAACTAAAAAGCTTCTGTTCATCAAAAGAAATGGTCTCTAAACTGAAGAGAACACCCACAGAGTGGGAGAAAATATTTGCCAATATACATCAGACAAAGGACTGATAACCAGAATATACAGGGAACTTAAAAAACTAAATTCTCCCAAAACTAATGAACCAATAAAGAAATGGGCATGTGAACTAAACAGAACTTTCTCAAAAGAAGAAATTCAAATGGCCAGAAAACACATGAAAAAATGCTCACCATCTCTAGCAATAAAGGAAATGCAAATTAAAACCACACTAAGATTCCACCTCACCCCTGTTAGAATAGCCATCATCAGCAACACCACCAACAACAGGTGTTGGCGAGGATGCGGGGAAAAAGGAACCCTCTTACACTGTTGGTGGGAATGTAGACTAGTACAACCACTCTGGAAAAAAATTTGGAGGCTACTTAAAAAGCTGGACATCGATCTACCATTTGATCCAGCAATACCACTCTTGGGGATATACCCAAAAGACTGTTACTCCAGAGGCACCTGCACATCCATGTTTATTGCGGCACTATTCACAATAGCCAAGTTATGGAAACAGCCAAGATGCCCCAGCACTGACGAATGGATTAAGAAAATGTGGTATCTATACACAATGGAATTTTATGCAGCCATGAAGAAGAACGAAATGTTATCATTCGCTGGTAAATGGATGGAATTGGAGAACATCATTCTGAGTGAGGTTAGCCTGGCAAAAACCAAAAATCGTATGTTCTCCCTCATATGTGGACATTAGATCAAGGGCAAACACAACAAGGGGATTGGACTATGAGCACATGATAAAAGCGAGAGCACACAAGGGAGGGGTGAGGATAGGTAAGACACCTAAAAAACTAGCTAGCATTTGTTGCCCTTAACGCAGAGAAACTAAAGCAGATACCTTAAAAGCAACTGAGGCCAATAGGAAAAGGGGACCAGGAACTAGAGAAAAGGTTGGATCAAAAAGAATTAACCTAGAAGGTAACACCCACGCACAGGAAATCAATGTGAGTCAATGCCCTGTATAGCTATCCTTATCTCAACCAGCAAAACCCCTTGTTCCTTCCTATTATTGCTTATACTCTCTCTACAACAAAATTAGAGATAAGGGCAAAATAGTTTCTGCTGGGTATTGAGGGGGGGGAGCGGGAGGGGGTGGAGTGAGTGGTAAGGGAGGGGGTGGGGGCAGGGGGGAGAAATGAACCAAGCCTTGTATGCACATATGAATAATAAAGGAAAAATGAAAAAAAAATTATACTGAGAGCCATACTAACAAAAACAGCATGGTACTGGCACAAAAACAGACAGGTAGACCAATGCTATAGAGTACAGCACCCAGAAATAAGCCCATGAAGCTGCAGTCGTATGATTCTCAATGAAGTATGCAAATCATATGCTGGAGAAAAGACAGCCTCTTCAGAAACGGTGCTGGGAAAACTGACATACACATGTAGAAGACTGAAATAGGACCACTATCTCTCACACTGTACAAAATCAACTCAAAGTGGATGAAAGTCCTTACTATAAGAGCCAAAAGTTTGAAACTACTACAGGAAAAGAAGTGTTTTCTTGACCATGTAGGCACGGCCTTTCTGAACAGGACTCCCAATAGCTCAGGAAATAAGAATAAGTGACAGATGGAAGCACATCAGATTAAAAAGCTGCACAATAAAAGAAACAACTGACAGCCTACAGGATGGGGATGGGGACGGTGGGGGGTGCGGGTGGGGTGGGAATCTTTGCCAGATAGTCATCTGACAGAGGATAATATCCAGAATATATAAAGAAGTCAAAATGTAAACACCAAAATAATAAATAAATCAATAAATGGGCAAATGAATGGAACGCTTTTCAAATGAAGAAACAGAAACGGCAATAAAGACGTTCACCATCCCTAGCCATCAGGGAAACGAACATCAAGCACAGAGGTTCCACTGCGCCTCAGTGCAAATGACTATCATGAAGAAAATGAGTAACAATAAACATTAGTGGGGATGTGGGGGAAAAGAAATGCATATTCACCACTGGTGGGACTGTAAATTACTGCAGCCACAATGGAAATCAGTGTGGAGGTTCCTCAAAAACTAAAAACAGACCTCCCCTATGACCAGCCGTGCCATTTCTGGATACATACACAAAAGAGCCAGTCAGGTTACTATGTGCACACCTGCACATCCATATTTACTGCAGCATTGCTCCTAACAGGCAAGCTGCGGAATCAGAATGGGTAAAAGTGTGGTATATATGCACAATGGAGTTTTACTCAACCATTCAGAGTAAAATTATGTCATCTGCAGGAGAGTGGATGGTAGTGAGATCATTACGATAAGCGAAATAAGTCAGACATAAGGGCAAACACAACATGATTTTCACATTTGTGGAAGGTAGGGGAAACAACAAAAATCCAAGGTCATGAAAGTAAAAGAGGGAGGTTGAAGGGGAAGGGAAAAGAGGAATAAGAAGGAATAATAGAGGGGATGAACATGATCAAAGTGCATTATCTATGGAAATGTCCTGATAAAACCCCCTACTATGTACAATTTAATATACACCCCCAAACCAAATCAACCAACCAAGAAAAACCATAGGAAACTTAGCTCAAGCTTTATGTGGTAGTCCAATTTAGATTTTGGTTGACTTGCTCTCATCACAATTCCTGGATCTCCACATGAAGTCACTTTACCTGGTGGGATTTCTTGGCTCGCTTGTCCCTTAAGCTTGGTGATTAGCCAGTCCACTTCTTCAAGAACCTTTTCAGCCTGATTCAGGACAAGTAACTGTGAAAGAAAAGACTGCCTGGCATGGTTCTGTACACACCCACTAGGGTAACATAAGAACCATGGCTTTTCCATCCAGATCAGTTATAGGCTCAGGACAGAAGTCACTACCATGGACTCCTCACATGGAGTGGAAGGAATGACAGGCTGTATGCCATGGATTGGTATCAATACTCACACAGACAGTGGGGGCAGCTGTTCTCAAATTCACCATTGCAAAGTGGTTTGTTTTCTCCACCTCTACATCCTGGGAAGGGAAAGAGAAGTAAGACCTAACAGCAGCAGACAACTCCTGTGACCTCCACCCCCACACAGGAAGTTGTACTTGAAAGCTCCCACAGTACCTGGTCTACGTCTCCCAGCTGCCCGTGGATATCCTGGGACAAGTCACGCAGCAGAGTGACAGGACTCTTACATAAGACATGCAGACTGAAGAGCAAGTTCATCAAGCTCCTGCAAAACGAGGCATCCTCTAGGAGTGGGAAGGACACAGAATTTAAAAGGAATTATAAACCAGGCAGGTGCTTCAAGTGTGTGTGGGGGGGCCCAGGCACAATATACTAATGCTAATCTCAGATGTCAACCAAATGGCTCTACTGAAATTGTGTCTTTTTACCCATGTACCCAAAGAAGGAAGACGGTTCCCATTATTAGCCATGAACACTGGGTAACAAGCACTGACTCTCCCCCTCCTGCTTACTCACCCCAATAAAGAAACTGCTACCCCAACTTCTGACAGATTCATTTTGCCTCATTCTGGATTTTATCTAAGTGGAATCATACAGCGATTTTTTCAGCATGTCTGGCTTCTTGTATATGTGTGTGTGAGATCCTCTCCATGCTGTCTGGGTGTGGCTCATCCTCAGTGCTGTACAATGCTCTCTGTGGGATATCACACTATACTTTGCGATTCCTTTCCCCATTTGCTGAAGAACAGTTAAGGTTCACTTTTACTTGTTAAAGTAGTAATGCTATGAGAATTCTTCCACATCTTTCTGTTGGGAGCAGAATGTTCAATTTTGGTTCAATTTCAGATATTGCCAAACAGTTTTCCAGAGTATTACACCAATTTACACCTCCACTGGCAGTAAAGGAGAGGTTCAACTGCTCTACAGTCTTCTTCCTCCCCCCCTCCCACCTTGACAGACTCTGTGTACCCTAGGCTGGCCTTGAACTCATGGTCCTTCTGCCCTCAGCCTTCTGAGTCTTGGGATTACAGGCCTATGCCACCATGCACTGCTTCCAACTGTTCAACCATCTTGCGAACACTTGGAACTAAGTACCTTTATGCTGCCACTCTGGTGAATGTGTAATTTTTTTGGAGGTGGGGGGTGCACCTTTTCTTCTCTAAATGCTATTTGGTGATGATAACTGAATGTGACAGGAAACTTACCCCGGCTATTTTCCTTGCAAATCTTAGATGTCCAGGATAACATCTGCATGAACTAAATGAGAGAGCATTCAGACATTAAAGACACGAGCTAAAGACAGGTACCAGAGTCCTAGACCTTTCCAAGTCTCAGCTAATGACCTGCCTGGATTAAAGTGGGAAAGAGTGAAATAAAAATAAATCCAAAATTATTACAATTATTGACATCATTCTCATAATACAGCATGTGATGTAATTCTCTATGCCCTTATTGAGGGTCAAACGTCCTGGGGTCTGCATCTAAGTTCTTACCCCCAGGCTTCCTCTGTGGAAGGTGGTCTAGCACTAAGTCTCCTTCTTTTACTTCTCAAGATGTCTTTAAGGCTAGCAGAGGGTGTGGGAGAGAAAGATCCTGGCATGAGATCAGTAAGATAGAGAGGGTGGAAAACAGGAAAATAAACAAGAAAAAGAGAGGAAAAAAAAAAAAAAACCAAGACAGGCTTCTTTCTCTAAGGTGAAGGAGATTTAAGGTTTGGGGACAGCCGGAGTCTAGGGTCTGAATCACCAGACACACACTCAACTTTCTGCTTCAGCAGTGTTTTCAAACAGGCTTTTAGCCACAAAGGCACTGAGGTGCAGTGTTCTTAAGTGAGGTGACTAATAAAGATTCAATTTTGATTTGTTGGGGATAAAAGGGGTAAATTAAGAGGCTAAGACTAGGCTCTCCATGAACTGGTATTAAAAAGACCCCTAGCACAGTGTGAGGGAACGGGAATAAGAATCTACATTCATGTTTGCCTGCATGGGAAACTCTTGAAAGATACTCAAGCCTTCAGGAAAAGTGACAGGAAAGCAAGTATTTTCTTATTTGGGAAGAGGAGGAAATGAAACAATGGGGGGCATGAATACAGGAGAATGTTGACTATCAGGATATTTATAACTTCTGGTTTTTAAATCATAGGACTTTATTACTCATTCAAAATACTGTAAAGACACTGTCTGAGGTTAAGGGGGAAAGCAAAACGCAATCTAATTAGCCTTTCTGAACACATTTATTTTCCCCCAAACTTCCCCCCATCCATTCTGCTTGTTTCTTCCCCAGTCTTTTTTCTCAAAAGCAAAAGTAGCAGTGGAAATTAAAGTGGGTGTGAGTTTGGAGCTGGGATAAAATGAGTTGAAAAGGGCAGTACTAGGGATTGAACCCAGGGCTTCCTCTACCACTTGAGCTATGTCCTCAGTCTTTAGTTTTTGAGAGTCTTGCTAAGTTTGCCCAGTCTGGCCTAGAACACAAATCCTCCTGCCTCCATCTCCCAAGTAGCCAGGATTACAGATGTGTGTCACCATGGCAGTCCTTTGGGCCAGGACATTAGGAAAATCAGGTCTGCTCTCCAAAGCTCAAACAGGCTACACGCAGGCTATAGTCTCCCAAAGAGTGAAGGGTTCACATGAGGAGCCTTGTACCTGAGAGCTTCGCTTGCTTCCTTATAGGGCAGGGAGTAGACGTGGTAGGTACACAGCCTTTCAGGATATTATTCCTAAAAGGAACAGACTGACCAAATGTGACTTCTTCTCTTTTGAGTGTGTGTGGATGCTCATGTGGACACACACTTCTACGAATATATACACATCTGCTGCTACTGGGGAACTGCAGTCACACCTCCTGACTTACTTGCCCTTTGAGGAAGTCTTCCCAAACTCACTACCAGGCAATGCTGACAAGTCCAACTGCAGAATGTCAGCTACCTTCTTATAACAACATTTTCACTTTAGAAAAGTCAGGGAAAACATCAAGAAAACAGGGGAAGAACACAGGTTAAGGCACCAAAGATAAACATAGTTATAGTGGCCAACAAACAAAAACAGTAAGTTCTTGGCCTTATATGGCTGCATGTATTATGGGAGAAACACTATGTAAGAAAAGACATCTTACAGTCATGTTATGAACTTGGGTGCACAACTAGATTGTATCAAATAAGGCAGACTTCAACAGGATGCTTAGCCACACACTTTTATAACGTAATAACCCTCCTCTGTGCAATGTTAAGCAGACTGAACAAGCAATCCTGGTACCTGAGGGGAGGAGGGCTCCAGCAGCTTGGACAAGTTGGTGAGCACAGCAACTAGTAGGAGAGCTTCTTTACTATGAAAACCTTCCTCTTCACCACTGAGTAAATTCAACAAGGATCTCTGTGGAAGTGAAGCAGGCACAGAAACATTAGCAGACACATTTCTTATGAAGAAGAGACATCCAACCATAAGTTCCCAAGACTGGGACAGAAACAATTCACAGCTGTGAAATTCCAACCAGATAAAATGTGAAAATAAATCAGGATTGAACAGTAAGTAGTTCCTTGTTTTCAACTACATTCTTGAGTATCCCCTTGAAAACCATGGACTTGTTCTCTTCCATCTCTGACAAGCGTGCACCAGGAATAAACGGTACGGTTTCTGGTGAGTCTCATCTTCCTGGAGATACCCACTGACCCAGGTTAGCCCGTGCCCCACACTCAGCATCCTGACACACCTTCTTTCCCATTAACTGTAATACTCTATTTTATTGTTCACTTGTCTGTCAGTGTTTCTCTATTGCAATGTAAGCTCCATGAAGACAAGAATTCTTTGCCTCTTTTGTTCCGTTATATTCCCACAACAGATCCTGACACACAGTAGGTAAGAACTTTATTTCATTAAAGAAATCCTTGTAATAGACCATCCCAATATTTTGATCACTACAAGTCAGAAATGACCAGCCTTTATTGTTTAGTCTTTACACAATTTGACAGGCAAAATCAAATTATACCCACGGACTCAAAAACACAAACTCCATACCTTGAAGGGCTCCTGGCCACCTCTTTCTGTCACCTCAAACAGTGACTTAACTTAGAGGCAACAAGTTCTACAAGTTGGAGATGGGGAGGACTAAATACATATACTCATTAGATCCTTCTAAATGTTATCACCTTTAATTCTAAGAGCTGAGTCTTGTTGCTTGGATAACCTAGAATTTCCTGTCCAACTTGCTTCTGTCTACCCTTTGCTAAAACCCTCAGGATCAGCAAGCAACCTCCCGAGATGTCTCACCTGAAACTGCCGGATCTGGAACGCAGCTCTCTGGGTGACACTGACGTCTTCAGCTTCTCCCTCTTCTCCCTCCTTATCTGTGACATCTAGAAACAGAAAAGATTTTTATCTTCTTTTAAACTGACTTTTAAAACCTAAAATTTTAGAAAGCCAAAAGGGTCTGGTGGCAGATTTAAGCGTATTTCTAAAATTCTGCAACTTCTTAATACTACATTCTGTTTTCCAGTCACTATTTGTGGTTAAACGTAAGCTGGTAAGTGCCAATCCTAAATCCACTAGCCATCACTCCTTAGTAGCATTAGGACTGTCCTCAGGTGTGCTCTGGTAGGTAAACTGCTACAACCAAGGGGCTTGATTAAGAAGAAACCCAGAATGAGCAATGTATTGACATGGAGTGCTCACCCAGAGCCCTGAGAAAGTCCTGGGTCTTGGACTGGTAGAACTGCTGCACGACACTAAGTATCTTCTGCAAACCCTCCAAGCACAGCAGCGAGATGCTCTTTCCCCTCTCTTTCTTTCCCGACTCTTCCACTGAAGTAGGAATTGAAGTATATCTCCACAGCAAAACCCTGAAGTGCGGGAAAAGGGTTTTATTTTTAAAGACTGGCTCATTAAGGTAAATTTATATATAGTAACTTTGTACCCTTATAAACCAACAGTTTTGTGAATTTTCAAAACTTGTCCAGGTGTGAAATCTCACAATTAAGAAATTTCCATCACTTCAAAAATTCCTTTGTGGTCCTTGGTAGTCAGTTTTCTCCCCCAACTCCAGGCAGCTACTGATCTAATGTCTGTCCCTGCAGTTACTTTTTATAAGCTACTGTATGGAGGTGGTATCACACAGTGCATAACCTTCTGATCCTGGCTTTCTCAACCTCACGTATGCTTCTGAAAGCTACCGATCTTGTTGTATGTATCAGCAATTAGTTCCATTTTACTGCCTAGCAGAGCTCCACTGTGTGGGTGCCAGCCTTTCTGTTCACGAGTTCATCCATCCATCTATTGAAGGACATCTGAGTTCTTTCTGGATCTTGCTGTTACTAATAAAGCTGCTATGAACCTTTGTGCACACGCCCTTACACAGATATGCTTCATTAATCTTCAGTAAACATGTAAGCATGTCACAGGTAGATCACAGATAGCTGTCACACTGTTTTCCAGAGTGGCTATACCATTTTACATTTCCACCAACAGTGTGTAAAAGCTGAAATTCCTCCACATCACACTCACAGTAATACTTTGGTTTGGTCAATCTTTAAACTTTAGGGTCTAGTAAGTGTTTAGTTATGTCTTATTATGGTTTAATGTGCATTTATCTAATCACTATGGTGGCCATCTACATCTTCTCTAGAAGTTATCTGTGCAAATATTTTACCCATTTTAAAATTTGTTTTCTTATTAATAAATTGGAGTTTTTCTTATTAGTAAATTTGAGTTCTTTATATATCCTGGTTACTAATCCCTCATATCAGACATGTGTTTTGCAAATACTGTATCCTGATCTATGGCTTGTCTTTTCATTTACTTCAAAGTTTCCTAGAGCACAGAGTTAAGAATACTTTTTATTGTATGGGTTATGCTTTGGTGTAACAGCTAGAAATCTTTGCCTAAAAGAAGATCAATACTTTTCGTATGTTTCTTTTACAAGTTTTGTAAATTTGGTTTTAGATTTAAGTTTCTGGTCTACTTCAAGTTAATTTTTTGAATATTATGTGAGAAATGGATAAGTATTCCTCCTAGCTCCTTTACTTTACCACACAAATTTTAGAATCATCTTGTCAATTCTTACAATAACTAAACTTTACAGGATTTTTTTCATAGTGCTAGAGATTATTAAGCCCAGGGCCTCAACTGTGCTGAGCAGGAACTATAACACTGTGCTATGTGCTCGGTCTCTCGATAGGATTTTGTTTTTTCTTTTTTTCCTTTACAGTACTGGAAGCTGAACTCATTTTTCACAGTCCCATGCATTTTGCCTGGACCAGCCTCAGACGCAATCGTCCTGCCTCTGTCTCTCTGGTTCCTTCCTGACTCCCTATCTACTGCTCCACTGATTGCTGAGAGAGGATTCAACATCATAATTAAGGGTTTGTCTATTTTTCCTTCAGTTTTATTGGGTTTTTTTGCTTCAAGTATTTAGACTATCATAGGATGCATACACATAGAATTTCTGTGTCCACTTGATCTATCATTAAATCATTATGTAATAACTTCCCTCCTCCATTCTGGGAATACAATTAAGATTTTACATGAGGCTAATGGTTCACACCAAAGCAAGACTAGAAAAAAGACTCAATACCAGAGACTGGACTTACATTCTGAATACATCACCCTCCCCTCTTCCCACAAACTCCTCTTCTGGGGAACTCACAGCAAGCAAACTAGCAGGCAGGTTTCTGAGGCTGAGTGGCTTACCGGGTTATGTCACAAAGGTTCTGAAAGATCTTGTCTGGGTTTTGACCATCAGGGCCACTCACACGCCCTGTCTCTTGGAGCTGCTGCACCTTCTGCAGAGCTACACTCACTGCATAGCGCATAAACTCCGTGCTGGACCTGAGAACAGACAGGCTCTCTTCGTGGCTTTGGATACTATCCCTGGAGAAAGAGGAAGGGAGAAAAAAGATACCCCTACTGCTACTGGGATCTGGAATCAGGCGTTCTAGGGACTACTCAGAACAGTAGAACGTTAGCAAGTTCTCAATGATAGACCCAGGGCAGCATGTGCCTGGTCACTGCCATGGTTGCCCTTTGACAACCACTCAGTGCTGGCACCTCATTTTCTCCCTTCCTCAATTCCTTAGCACTTCAGTAAAATTTAAATGTCAGTCTTAAGTCTTTTAGTTTTATGGGTTGTCCCTTTGTGGTTTTGGGGAGAGGGTTAATACTGGGGCTTGAACTCAGGGTTTCGTGGTTGCTAGGTAAGCACTCTACCTTGAGCCATTCCTCCAGCCTTTCTAGCTCTGGTTATTTTGGAGATAGGGTCTAACTTTTCAGGCCTATTGGCCTGGCTTGTGACTCTTCTACATTTCCCACAGTAGCTGAGATGACAACTCATCAACTACTACCACCATCATCCCAGCTTTTCCTGTGAGATGTGGCCTTTTTTGCACAAGCTAGGATCAAACTGTAATCCTCCCAATCTCAGCCTCCCAAGTACCTAGGTTTACAGGCGTGAGCCACCACACCCAGCTCCTTTGTTTTTTTAACTTAGCTTTTTCCTTTATTCCCTTTTTATTTGATGTTATGTTCAAACTACTTAGGAAGATTTTCTTTCTTTCTTTTTTTGCAGTACAGGGGCTTGAACTCAGGGCTTTCACCTTGAACTACTCTTCCAGTCCTTTTTTGTAATGAGTATTTTCAAGATAGGGTCATGTGAACTATTTGCCCGGGCTGGCTTCAAACCATGATCCTCCTGATCTCTGTCTTCTGAGCACAGGAAGATTTTCTTATAACACTATTGGAATTCATGCCTATCTTTTCATTCATTTCTTCACTGTTGCTGATTTTTGTGTGCCCCACTACTTGCTCTGATCTGTTTGTACACACTCAAGCAGAACCTTACCTGAAAAGAGCAGTGAGAAGATCAGACACAAATTTCAGGGACAAAAAACTGTCGTTTGTCTTGTTGGTCACTTTCAATTTGCCTTTACCTGTTTTTTCACTAAGGATGTCAGAGAGCTTCTTGTAACACATAAACAAGCTCAGAACCTCCTCAAATTTATTCTTACTGTAAAAAAGGAAAAAGAGACCAAGGACAGGCATCAGTATCTCATGGTTTAGTTTTAAATACAGTAATAAGGAAATGACAATGCTTCGTCAAAAGTCATGCTTTATGGATCCCATTATAAACAGACCTTCGTTTGCATGGCATTCCCAGACTACAGCAACCTATCTGGACCCTTTCCTTCTTCTCTCATTTACACCAGTCAAGGCAGAGAGCGAAGGCCAACACGGCTACCAATAGGACTTCTCTATTGAAATCAGGAGTACTCGAGTTTAGGGCCTGGGAATTTTGAATAAATGAAAACCTGCTGCACAGGCCTGACTGGCAAATACTTCAGTGCGCTTTGGAGGAAAGAACACAGTTTTCTCTTAGGCTAGATATCCATTTAAGAGATATTATGCCTGGCACCTCTGGCTCATGCCTGTAATCCTAGCTTCTTGGGAGGCTGAGATCAGGAGAATCAGGGCTCAAGGCTGACCAGGCAAACAGTTCATAAGACCCCATCTCCAAAATAACCACAGCAATAAAAACTGTATGGCTCAAGCAGTAGAGCGCTTGCTTTCCAAGTGTGAAGCCCTAAGTTCCAACCCCAGCCCCACCAAAAAAAAAAAAAGAAGAGAGATATTATAGTCCATGGTCTATTTAGTGCTTGATATGGTGCATATAGACAGGTATATAAACCGGAATATTCATCAAGCTACAAGTAAAGTCCCAGCAGTGTCTTACCTGAAATTACATATGGAGAAATTATATTCTATTAGAACCTCACAAACTCCCAGCAAGAGAAATGCACAGATATTATTTTTGACGCCGATGCCAGTGCTCTGAGAAAAATCTGCTGATTTATCCTAAAAGACATATGATACAAATTAATAGGCTGCTAAAGACTTCCATTTTTCACTACAGTTGAGTAGTTAGCAATTACCAGTTCAAAGTCTTCCAGTTCACTCTTGATCATCCTGCTAGTAATGGACTCCAGCATATCATCTAGCTCTTGGTAGAGCCCCTCTTCTTCCTCCTCTTCGTTGCCCTGTTGTAAGGGCATCACTCTGTTCTTATACCAGGCCAAACAATGCTGAGTACAACACAGCAGATAATCCTGTAAGAAAGTAAGTAAATTGAGTAAGTAAATAATATTCTTTTTTAGGGGAAGGGGGCAGTGCTGGGGATTGAATTTGGGGCCTCATGCTTGCAAGGCAAGTGCTCTACCACTTAAGACATGTCTCCAGTCCTTTTGTTTTCAGTTTGTCTTTCAGATGGGATGTACTGCTTTTGCCCTGGCCAGTTTTAGATGGCCATCCTCCTTCCTGTATCTCCTGAGTAGCTGGGATCACAGGTATGTACCACCATACCTGATTTGTTTTTTGAGACAGGGTCTGATAACTTTTCCCAGGCTGGCCTCAATCTGTGATCCTCCTCTCTCTGCCTCCTTAGTAGCTGGAATGACAGGTATGCACCACCACATCCAGTCCATTAAGTGATATTTTTGAGTATTAAGGGATAGCCTATGAAGCTGTTATCAGTAAATAGTTCTTATTGATGAAGCTTAAGTCATTTATAAGCATCACATATTAAATCCATCTGAATTAATAGAACTGAAAAACATCACTAAACTAACAAGTGCTGTTTTCTAAGCTTTTCCCAGAGGAATTGGTCTTGTAAGTAGGTGACACTTCAGAGCAAAACATCAGACGTGCCCTGTCTGCACTGATACAAACACCCTTGGAGCCAGGATATGAAGTTAAATAGCTTTTGGTTCCTGAGTCCCAAAGTTATTCTGACAATAGGCGTTTATGTTGAGGGAATCTTTGGGAGACAAACACAACATGCTAGACCTAGGCTGGGGACATCTGATGGCATAGAAGGTGTACAAATGAAGACAGAATGACAACTGAAGAACTCCTCTTCCTCCTGCAATGAGTTCTAAGTCTCGTTCCTGTCTTTCTGACGCTAGACAACAAGAGTAGAAAAGCAACCAATCCTAGATTCTGTGAAGACTCAACAGAGTGCCCTTCTAGCTCAACCTAAATCACGTACTCCCTCCAGACTAAGAGGCAGGCTCTTGGGTTAATCTCCTCCATTCTAAAGCACACTTATCATGTGTCTATAGTCAAGAATCCACAGATGAAAGAGAAAATGCTCCTGGGGGAACTGACCAATGGCTTGCTTTAGTAAAGTGCTACCATCTACCAACAGGTCGGAGGTGATAACGGATCAAAAATGACAGGTAGGGAAGACTGAAGGTAAAAGTTCACTGAGAGAACTAGAAGTTTCACAGGGAAAGGTAGCTCTGTCTGAAAATCACCCTTATTACGAATGGTAAAAGTAACATTTACAGGAGGAATAAAAGTTTTACCAGTGGTTCCTGTAGAGAGATTTGACTTCCTTGGGTCAGAACACAAGCTTCTAATTTCAGAGGCGGCAGCAGATCAGGTTTTGGCTCATAGAACTGTTTTAACTTTATATAGCAAGGGGAAAAGAAATCACCATGACTCATAAGTACTTTTCAAACTATTCAAAGCAATGGTACCTTTAATATCTAATACCTTCTGAGACATTTCCCAACCATCAAAGAATGGCGCAGCAAAATTAGCACTGTTTTGGCTTGCCTGCGTCCTTTTGCCCTGGCTTTAGGCATAGTAATGGTAAGAATCATCTTTCCTATTTCACATCAACCTACTCCTTTTACACCAGTTCATAATCTTGCCTAGGCAATTAGCATTTTCAGGACAGCTTGGTGAATAAGAATACAGGCTCCAGAATCAGACTGGCTGAGTCTGAAATACCACTTCCAGCACTTTTTACTGATTTTGATAAGGTTATGCATATCTTGGCTCTTTATTTGCAAAATGAGTATATTGTTAATATGAGTGCTAGCTAAGGATTAAACATTACAGTATTCATAAAGTACTTCAAACACTACTTGGAAAATACAGCTGACAAAAAGTTAGCTGTCACTTATTTTCTTCCTTTTACTTCTGGTGTCTACACAATTTTACTGGTCTATATGTTAACCCAAGTCAGGAAGCACTGTTCAAAGCTTTCAAACGTGCTTTTATTCTTGTTAAATGTACAAATGTAGATTGGTTGATTGTTATAGTCTGAAAAACACAATACAGCTAACGAGGCCCAATGAAAAGTTTTCTGGATAGCAAAGGACCTTCCAGTGATGTCCACATATCTGAGACCTTAACTTCAAATGGTCCTCTTTAGAATTATCACCACACAATAGCTGAGACAGAAAGAGAGGGAGGGAGAGAGCAGGGAGAGAGGGAAGAGAGAACAGAGAGGGAGAAAGGGGGAGAGAGAGAGAGAGAGAAATATGAGAATGAGCTCAATTCTACTTCTAGCAATATGATGGCCCAGGGTCTAGATGAGACCTCTGGGTAGGGAACTCCAGACCTTTTATTTCAGAGATAAAACATAACACATACAGTTCTGACAGCCCCTGTATAAATGGGTCTTCAATTTTGAAGACCCTCCTTCTGACTTAGGATGCAGACTGTTAACTCACAGGGACAACAGTGACATGGTGGCCACATGACTGATGAGTGATGATTGAAATAAAACAAACTGGAACCGATGACATCCCCCAAGCATGTTCACAATGTACCAGTGTACTCATTGGGAATTATTTTGTACTTTCAAAAGTCTGGAAAACATCAATTACCTCTCAGTGCCTCATTACCTGATTTCCCGAAACGATCCATAAAAATGTATTTTACCTGTGAGAGCAGAGTCTGCATGATCGAATTAGCCAGCTGAGAGTTCCTTCGAAGAACATCATAGAACCCCTAGGAACAATCATGCAGAGAGTGAGCTCTTCCTTTCTTTATCCCATTCTTTGATAAACATGGAAACCATATTTGCTAGAGGGAAGAACAACTCAGAATGTTTAGGTGATTTGTCTAAACTAAAAAAAGATATCTCCTGGGCTCGTGGAGTGGCTCAAGTGACAGAGCACCTGCCTAGCAAGTGTGAGGCCCTGAGATCAAACCCTAGTACTGCTTAAAAAAAAAAAAAAAAAAAAATCACTGAGAACTGAGTTAATAATCTTATCACAGTCTTCACAATTTTAAGCATAGGGTCATTCTGGCTTTGGGATTATTTTGTCCCTTCACAGCCAGCGATGTTCTAGGCCGTATTTTTATTTATTTATTTATTTTTCTCAGACACTGAATTAACCGCCTTTCTTTTTAGGACATTCTTCCAGTGCTTCATGGGCCTAACCACCTGAACATGAATGATCGTGACATTCCCCCCCAATCCTGAATTTCCCAGTCTTCATCAAAAAATTAAAATCCTGTCAAGAGGTTATACAGTTCATCTCTGAGAAAAAGCAAATGAGAACTGATCAGAGAATTTTTGTTTAAAGAAAAGATGTATGTTTTTGGTGGCACAGAACCTCTTGCTTGCTAGGCAGGCACTCTTACAGCTTGAGCCACTCCACCAGCCCAAAGAAAAACTGTTGAAGGAAAATTAGCCCTAACAGGCATTAAAATATTTTACAAATGTATAACAATGATAAAAAGACCATTTGTCTTGGCACAAAAATCAACACGGATGGCATACAAATAGCAAACATAAAGCAGGCAACTAAACACCTGGTTAAGCTGGGAAAGTTAGCTCTAATATTACAGCAAATTGCAGGTAAGTTAATAAATAGTTAAATATAAAGCCAAAAGCATTAAAAGCCTTAGAAGAACATGCTAGTGAATATTCACTTAAAGATCAGACTCTATATACAAAAACTAGAAGAGGAGTTACAGTACTGTGGCTGCACATTAAGATCCTAGAAAAAAACAAAAAACTAAAAACAACAAGAAACACCAGGAGACACCTCAAAGGAAAAAACCTCAACAGATCTAATAACCTAAAACGACTACTTCTGCAGATCTGAAATGATCGTCATGCTTCACAAAAGCAAATGAAGAGCCTTTGCTGCCTCGGTTGCATGTGGTACCATTAGGCAGAGCCAGAGCAGGGCTGGTGAGGTGGCTAGAGCCAGTGGGTGGGTGCCAGTGTCCTCGCCGGTCCCCTGAGAGTCAAAGAAGTAACTAACAACGGTGCTCAATAATGTGCATAAGATGACTTATCTGCAGGAAAACACTGCCAACACCAGGAAGATCTGTGTTTTGGCTCATTTAGTCCAGGAAAAAACTACTCTTCCTGACTGCCTTATATGCAGTAATGGGATTGTCTCTAGTCACCTGGCAGGCAAGTTAAGGGACACAGACAGCAGAGAAAACGACCAGGTCTGAGGGACCACCATGAAATCCAGTGCCATCTCACTGCATTATGCAAAGAGCCAAGCTGTCCAGGCTTAAATACAGATGGAGACCTGTGACTGGCTGGAGGGCACAACTGGCAGGTCATACCTGCCCCTATCCACCAGATATATGGATTCCTTCACAAGGAACGTCAGGGGTCCTAGGACTTTGCAGGCTCACCCTAGTGTATTTCCTGGCTGGAGCCTCGTCCTGCTCCATGGCCTGCACATTAAATTCAGTCTCATTTCCTTAACCGTGCCTTGGTCAATACTAGCTTCCTATCCCAAGTGAAGATGTTACTTTAATAGGAACACTTCTAGGAATTTCTGACAGAAAGAGTCAAACAAGTGTGTGCGATGTATGTTCAGCAACAATTGCCAAAATGTTTGTACTAGTGAAAACCACGCCAACAACGTAAATATCAGAGGAGGAGAGGTGAGGTAAACTGTGAGGTAAACTGTGATGTATTACGCAGCGATTAAACTAGTGCTAATCTATATGCGGTTATACAGAAAGAATGACAGATTAAGAGAGACAAAGCAAGTTACAGAATGCCTTTGTGAGATGCAAAGGTGCTTGGGTAACAAAAACACGTATGCAGATGAAGGTATCTGGAAGGATATACATCAGAATTTTTTTTTTTTTGGCAGCACAGGGGTTTGATCTTGGCCTCACGCTTGAGCAAGTCCACCAGCCCTACACATCAAACTTGAACAGCTGTGAAACTTGTACTTTTCTTTTTCTTTTTTTAATTTATTTTTTTATTATTCATATGTGCATACAATGCTTGGGTCATTTCTCTCCCCTGCCCCCACCCCCTCCTTTACCACCCACTCTGCCCCCTTCCTCTCCCCCCCACCCCCTCGATACCCGGCAGAAACTATTTTGCCCTTATCTCTAATTTTGTTGAAGAGAGAGTATAAGCAATAATAGGAAGGAACAAGGGTTTTTGCTGGTTGAGATAAGAATAGCTATACAGGGAGTTGACTCACATTGATTTCCTATGCGTGGGTGTTACCTTCTGGGTTAATTCTTTTTGATTTAACCTTTTCTCTAGTTCCTGGTCCCCTTCTCCTATTGGCCTCAGTTGCTTTTAAGGTATCTGCTTTAGCTTCTCTGCGTTGAGGGCAACAAATGCTAGCTAATTTTTTAGGTGTCTTCCCTATCCTCATATCTCCCTTGTGTGCTCTCGCTTTTATCTTGTGATCAAAGTTCAATCCCCTTGTGTTTGCCCTTGATCTAATGTCCGCATATGAGGGAGAACATATGATTTTTTGTCTTTTGGGCCAGGCTAACCTCACTCAGAATGATGTTCTCCAATTCCATCCATTTACCAGCAAATGATAACATTTCATTCTTCTTCAAAATAACTATTTTTGAATTGTTAGAAAACTTTACACAAAACATTTATTTCTATAATTTGAAGAAAATACTAACAATTTATTTCCCTAAAAAAACAAAGTAACAAATGAAAACCTGGCACATACTTACAATATGATAAAAGTTGTTTATTCCAATACAGAGTTCATTGTTATTATTTTTTGGTGGCACTGGGTTTGAACTCAGGGCCTCACGCTTGCTAGGCAAGCATTCTTACCCCTTGAGCCATTCCACCAGCCCTCAATGGTTTTTTTCAAGATAGGGTCTCGAGAACTATTTCCCTGGAGCTGGCTTTAAACAGTGATCTGCCTGCTCTCTGCCTCCTGAGTAAAGCTAGGTTTACAAGTGTGAGCCACCAGCGCTGGGCTTATAAAGTTCTTTATAAACTAATGACGTACAGAGTAAGTCCTTATGAATAAACGAAATCCAATAACCTAAAAGATTTAGGTCTATGAGCCATATCAAGCTAAACCGTTTTTTGGTGGTACTAGTGGGGACAGAAGTGCAGAAGAGATAACACAGAATGTCTGAGACTGCCTATCTTTAGTCAAGCCTGCTTGCAAGGTTGGCGTTTCCAAGTTGGTGACTGGAAATCTGACTGAAAACAGATACACTAACACAAACCTTTCCCTAAACAGTAAGGAGTGGCTCACTTTGCCTAAACTGTCTGTAGAAGCGACGTGGCTTATGGTGAGCATGTTTTTCTTTAGAATTTTTGTTTGGAAGTTTTGGTGCACACTAGACAAAGGGCGGCTACACGACCAGCCCCAATAAAAGCCTTAGGGGCCAAGTCTCTAAACATCTTGCACACATCACAAAGAAATTGCTGAAGGAGTTACGTATTTCTGGTGCAACCTCTCTTGGGGGACACTTGAAGCCTGTACCTGTTTCCTTCTGACATCGCCTCCGCAGCTCTTCCCTGCTGACTTCGCTTTGTATTCTTATCCATGAGAACAAGTATGTGCTAAGTTTTGAGAGACCTTCTAGTGACATCTCAGACCTGGGGGACGCCCACCATAACGTACAACTGCCCCTTTTGTGAAACAACTACCCTTTCCCCATCAAACTGCTTTGGGATCTTTGTCAAATCTCTGCTGACCAACTTCAACTTCATACATGATCGACTGTTTTTGCAGTTCGAACTCCTTTACATCGATGTAAATTTAGAATCCTTTCCTTCTGGTTTCCTTCTCTCAGTAGTATCCGAGATCTTCCACATATTTATCTTGCATGTATTTTGATAGGTCTATGCTTAAGCGTTTTGTTTTCATTTATTAAATATTTAATTTCAAATTTTGAACTCTTCAATGTGAGCGTATAGGAGTATGACTGACTTTTGCATGGTTTATGAACTTAGAAAATGACTGTGACATGCTAGGAGATAAAATCTATATAAATTTCATTCCAATTGTGTGTGTATGTATGAGTGGTGTGATTAGAATGTTAAGGCAATTTCTTTATTCTACATATTTTCTACAATAAGCTTAAAAAATCTAGTACCTGGCAACTCGGGCTCAATAAATGTTACTTTAAGATATCAAATAAAGGTATTGCCATAGCTGCTCTCTGAAATAACTTCCATTTATTCTGCTTCTTTGATTACTTGACACTCTTCTTCCTTCCATGTGACATACTAAATGTTAGATACAGTAGTGTACCCTCCACGGCCACGCACTCCTGCGTCTACTGGCTGAGTCTCAAGTGGTAATTCTATTTGTCCTCGGTTTTAGCTAACTGCCCTATCATTTCATGATGTGATTTCATCAGTCCTATCAACACCTGAAAACCAAGTGCAAAAATAAAAAGTAGTTGTTTGCACAGCTGAGTGCTGTGCAAAGACTTACTAAAGGAAAGTTTCTAAAGCTTAGAGACAGAGCTAAGACAAGTGTAAAGGGAAGAAACTGAACCCGTCTGGAAGGTCCCCACATGGCATCTGCATGTAAAGTATCCTGAAAGTTTTCTGTTTTTACAGCCACTTCAGCAGAACAAAAACTTAAAATTTGAGGCAATAAGTTAAGGGTGTGGTTTATATGAAAGTCAGAAAGTTACAAACGACAAACTTGGTGCTGTATTAAAATACTGGCAAGTTAATACCACATTTCAATATTTAAATTAAAATAGGTAGGTCAATATATATCAACTATTTTTTGTGTGAGTTTGAACTCACGGCTTCATGCTGGCAAAGCAGGCACTCTAACACTTAAGCCACACCTCCTACCCATGTTGCTCTAGTTATTTTGGACAAAGCCAACTATATGCCTTGGCTGGCCTTGAACTGCGATCCTCCCAATCCCAGCCTCCGAAATAGCTAGGATTTACAGGGGTGAGCCACCAATACCCAGCTATGTACCAACTATTATTTATGACTCCCACCTTAACATTGACTCGGTATCACTACCTACTAGTCCTAACTGCATAAGGGCATATGTAACTGTACTCTTATAATCAGGAAAAAAGAGAGGGATTGCTACTTTTCTTGCACTCTCCTGACTTACCTCGTAAAGCATGAGCCGAACGTCAGCCTGCTGTCCTAAGCATCTCCTCAAACTATCCATGATCTCAAGGCACAAAGTCTCATTGGCAACAGAATTGTAACGGCTGTGAATATCCACATGCACCTGAAAGGAAGAGAACCAGCTCCTGTCGAATTTACCAAAGAATTTCAGTAAGGGGTAAGACAGCCCATGTTCTGGTCAGAAACTCATGAGACTTAGCTCTCTCACGCTAACACCAAGCATGGAGGCACACACTACTTCAGTGTCATGCAGTGATATGTGTCGTTCTGGTTCTGATTTGGAGTAAGACAATTTTCAAGCATTTTAACAAAATTAACTCTTTCCTCTTCCTTAAGGCTTCCTGGACAATGTCATTTGCTTAGAAAAGGCACACTGCTTAGTTTATGCCACTAGAATTGGCAATTACAGTATGCCTGATTCTATTTAAATGACCTAAGATTCCATAGAAGAATCTAGATCTTTACTCCCACAAATTCCAGAGGTTTAAGAGTTAGGCAGTGTCTTGCTTAGAAATGGACACGACAAAGAACTGATACCCTTTGTTCAGTTTTAAATAAAATGGGAATTACAGACCAAGAATTTCCTCATCCTACCCCAGGCATCCTAATGATGTAGTTCACACCATCTGACTGTTCTACCCTTTATTGGTTAAATGACCTTGGGCAAGTTACTCAGCCTCTCTCAGCCTTAGCTTCCTTACCCTAAATAAGGTAACACGCACAAATGATCCCTACTGTTCTTAACATTTAACCTATGCTTATAAACAAAAGTTTTATATACTGTTCTACAACAATAAGGATTCCTAATGAAATTGTTAAAGATCTACATTGCTAAATGTATAAATGTTATAGTACATCATTAAATCAGCAGGACAATTTTATTGTTCTAAAGCCCAGGTGAACAAATTCTTGAAAAGTTTTATTTTTTCAGAAAACAAGGTTTAACAGATGTGCATGTGCAAAGCAAGTACACTGACTTATTTTTTTCTTTGTTAATGTTTGTTTTCTTTTATACTGACTTATTTTCTAATTGGGTATAGTAACAAAGAGAATAATGACTCTGGAGACCAAATGATAATGGATATGAAGTATTAAGTTGTGTCTAACAGTGCTATCCAACAAAGACAGTATGAACCACAAGTGCAAGCCACATACATCATTTAAAATTTTCTAGTAGCCACATTAAAAAAGTAAAATGAAACAGGTAAAGTAAGTGTTAATATTATTTAACTCAATATATCAAAATATAATCAACATAAAATAATTATTGAGATTTTTATGCTCTTATTTCACACTAAACCTTCAAAATCAGTGTGAATTTTACATGTACAGCATAACTCAATTTGTATTAGCCACATTTAAACAAGTGTTTACTTCAATAGCCACACTGAGGCTAGTTGCTACCACACTGGCTAGTACAGTGTAGTGCCCAGAAAATCTGTTATTAATAAAGACTAGTTGATATTATCATCATGAAACTTTCTTACGACCGTAACAGGAATAAAAGAAATGGCTTACATATCAGTGACTCCTGCACCAAAGCTCAGTACTGCAGTTAGTGTGAGCCATCCTTACCTGACTGAGCCCAATGGACTGACTGCACTGAGAAGAGGCCAGGCTGCCTAAAACTTTAAAGTTCTTCAGGAGCAGCAAAAACCCAGCAACCGCAGATTTTCGGGCATCAAGATGTCTAGCTCAGGAATACACAGAGAAGTTAACAAACAGCACTAACTTCAAAGGAACATGCAGAAAAATCCAGTTAACTCCACACAAAGAAGGAACATATATAAACAATGAAGCACAAAACTAACCGAATTTATATGCTCAAAGTAAGGCATCAGCTGTGCAGAGCAATTAGCAGTACAGAATTCAGTTCATTTTTTTCATTACCGACTTAACCTCATGACTCTAACTGTACTTTCTTCTCTCCTTGTCTCCAGTCTTTGTGGGGATAAGAATGGGAGTACTAAGGGGCTGCATGATGGAGTGGTAACTCAAATTTGAGTACTGTATGGCAAAAGTAGTCACTGAGTTCTGCTGTGTCTGAAGGAGAGCTTTCCTTCACCAGCTACCTTTCTACAGTATGTTGGGCTATGCATGTAAACCCTCCATCCAGAAGAATGAAAGTTGAGGCTCAATGATTAAATACATATTACGGATGATATACCACATGAGCTCAGTCTATCAGGCATTCCTTTGGGTGGGGAGTAACAAAAAAACGTCCACTCTAGAACAGAGATAAATAGCTACTTGCTAGCTGTTCCTCTGAACATCCGTAATGGATTATAATATGGTTGGTGTGATATAAACTGTGTGTCTTCTCTGCAAAGTACCTAGCACTTTCCACACACTACTGTAATACTATAGTTTTAGGAGACAGCATTATCACCTCCAGTTCATACAGTAAGCAGTAAAAAAAGAGGTCAGGAGGCACTAGATGAGCTCCGAACGGCACTCGGGCTCCTCACAATTCACTGGGTCACTAGCCACTAGACCACGATTCTGATGATCACTGAAGTGAGAGATTTTTCAAGTTTATTCTTAACTAAGGTTCTTCCCGTTAGGAACTGTTGCCAGCTCAGGTTTTAGAGAATGTGGCAATGGAACTTCTTCCTGGAGCCTATTCAAGGGGTGGCAAAGCACTTGAGATCACAAACTCTGAACTTAGATTACTTCCACCATCAATTACTGTTTGACCTTGTCTAGATCTCAGGTTTTTATCTGTAAAATAGGAACTGCAGTAATTTTCACTCCACAGGGTTGCTCTGAAGACCAAATGAAGAGAAGCACACAAAGCACTTGCCATCATGCCCACTGGATCAGAGTGCTCTGCTGGACAGGAGTTCACACCACCTCTGTGAACAGGAGACACTGGGACATGGCAGAGTAAATTGAGTCCCAACGACGGGTGCAGAATTTCTTACGACCTAAAGGAACTACTTACCTGGCAAACATGGCTTTGCGAAGGACAAGGATCAGGGAGTCTCTCAATGACATGCTGACTTTGAGAAGCGGCTAAAAGGACAATCCAGTGGGTAAAGACAGAGCGAGTTAGCTTATCAGTTTTAGCTCATTTCTACTCAATACTGCTAGCATTTGACATATATAATAATCTTTGGTTCTGTTTTACTACATGTTTCGACACTGACTGCATTCTAATAAGGGTAACAGTATACTTTGAAACAGTAAGTTGAAACTGGTTGTGAATGCCTTTGTACTCACTAATTTCCTTAGAGACATCAGTCACTTCACTAACTTGAAAATGAGTCAAAGGAGGACCATGAAATGAAGAGGGGTCAACTTGGAAAGCACTATAACTCAGTGCCCTTGACCTTTTAATACAAGCTTTTATGTTTTGGACTCAAGGGAAAAAGAATTTATTGTAAATGTACATCTGACTTCCACTAAACAGATAATCCTCAGTTTTGGCAAGTTAACTAGGTGAGAAGACTTACCTGCACTGCCTTAAGCACCCCTTGTACAGTTTGAAGGGGTAGGAAGGACAAATAGTCAAAGGTTTCTGTGATTTTAGAAGAACAGGTCTGAAGAACTAAGGGTGCATACATGATGATATCTGAAAGCAAGTCTAAAAAACAGAATCTATAATCAGTTGCTTCAAATATCTATAGGTATTTAAAGCAAACTAAATATGGGAAGATTGTAAAAAGTCTTTTTTCCTTTCTAAAATAAGTCACATATGCTTTAATTAAAATTTTCACTGCTAAGCATACATAACTTTTTTTTCCAGTCAATGTAACCAGGATACTTTAACATTTTTTGTTGCTAGTTCAAGACTACAAAATTAAGCTGTCTAAAAGAAGAAACCCATTACACTGCCAAGACAAGGAGCAAGTTTTTGTATCTCTAAGCTAAACCAACAAATATACTCATGAATTATTATTATGCAAGCATACAGTCCTATGGAACATAGAAAGCATAAAACATGGGTCATTCTTCCTTCAAGAATTTTAATCATTTAGTGCTGGGGGCATGGCTCAAGTGGTAGAATGTCTGCCTAGAGGCCCTGAGTTCAAACCCCAGTACTGCAAAAAGAAAGGGAGGGAGGGAGGAAAGAAGGGAGGAAGGAAGGGAAGACATGTAACAATTTAGTTGTAAGAAAATACATTTCAAGAGAATTAGTTAACAGAACAATACCAAATATCTAATAACACCAAACATTCACTACCTACTAAATGGTAAAGAGAGAGTTTAAGCTGTCGGAGTGGCTAAAGTGGTAGAGCATCTGCCTAGCAAGCATGAGGTCCTGAGTTCAAACCCCAGTGTCACCAGAGAGAGTGAGTTTAAGCTGGAGTTCCGAGCAAGAAGAGATCACTTTGGGTTCGTTACTTCAGAAAATCAGTGAAGAGAAAGAATGTGAACTTGGATCTGAAAGGTGAGTACCATTCAAAGCACAAAGAACCAAAAAGGCCTACATTATATAAAATACAGGAAAGGAAAGAATGGTCACATATTCAGAGGATGGTGAGGAAATCAGTAGAAGTGGGATGAAAGGTTCAGAAAAAGCAAATAATCGGAGTTAATGTGGGGAAAATACGTGAGATCAAACTGTCAAGAACCTGAAATGCAAGAAAAGAGCAGAGGTAGGCGGGCCTCAAACTTGTGATTTGCCCACCTCAGCCTACCAAATGCTACAACTGCAGGCTTGTGCCACCATGCCTGGCGAGAGCTCATGATTTATAAAAGAACATATTGATGATTTTGGAGCGACAGATACTAACCTGGTGGAAATATGCAGGTGGAACTGCTGCAGGGAGAAAAGAAGGCTGGGAAGTTAGGAAGCTGCAGCTCAGTAGACGTTAAGAGAACCACCCTCAAACCAGCCATGCTCTCTGACCACAAATGAGAATCTTCCTCAGCAGGCTGGAGAATTTGTTTTAGATTATTGTATCTTTTATATTATTACACCTGGTTATAATATTTCAAATATATCTCAAAGTTGCAAAGAAAGAAGAAAAAGTAGAATAAAGTGTTAAGTATTGAGTTTTGCAGAACACTAACATTTAAGGATAGAAGGAAGAAAGAAAAATTACTGTCACGGGAGAAAGAAAAACATGATCCCATGTAGGACAAGAGGCAAGCTAGCACAGTGGTCAGAGTACCTATCTAAAAAACTGCAGCGTGTGAACAAGTGCTGGATGATAGAAAAAGTAAGGAAACTGGTGGTTTAGAAAAGGGTAGCTGAATTACACATTAGGAGATATGTATAAGACCAGAAATTAAGAGAAAAGTATTGACTTAGGAATGGAGTAGGAAACTAGGAGGTCAAAAAGTGGCAGAACAGCACTCATTTGATAAGATGGAAGCCAGGGCCTCAGGCATGCTGGGCAAGCCCTTTGCTGCTCAGCTACAGCACAGCTCTCATGAGAAGTAGTAAAGAGAGAGAACACTGACACAGAATGGGAATGCTGCCCACTCAGACAGCAAAGGAGACTTTTATGTCTTACTGGCACATAATCAAAGATACTACATTAAATTCTACTGTATCACTGAAGTTTCTTTTCTAGGACCAGGTCATTATGACACTTAAAATATTCCTAAGAACTTTTCAAAGTTTAATACCTAAGAAATGACTGATGGGAAAGGACGCCCTGTTAACAACCCTGTTGAGGACTTGCTCCAGAATTTCCTGTCGGATCATCTCGTGGATCTAAAAAGAACAGAGGGCAAAAAATATTCTTGAGTGACCTTCAGCTCATAAGTGTATCAACGCATGTTAGGCAGGAGGGGAAATTTGCTTCTCAACTGTTTACTTCACATACAAATCAGAATACCACGTGAACCATCTGGAAAAGAAAGCATCACAACTCTCCCTCATTCTGCGCTGGATTCAATCAGCAAGGCAAATACCACTTTACCAGCCCAAAAGTACAAATCACACAAAGTAACAGTGTCACCCAAAAAGAGCAAAAGTCCAAGACCCTATTTGAAGAAACACTCATTTCTCTTAAAACTCATTTTTCTTACCAAATACACTTGACTCTTGTGCCTTCCACGCCACAGCTCTAGATTAAAACACTAAATTTACACTTTGATTACCTCCAGACAGCGTTCTCAGCAGACCAGACCCTTCTGGTATACAAAGACATCAAAAGACTGCATGTGAAACAGGTAACTTAGGGACTCAGTGGGAAAGTTGCTCAGCGTCAGGTATGACCTAGTTTTTCTTCCTTTGTTGCAGAAATTAAGGTTGAGTTGATCATCATAATTTGGTAATGAGTAAAAAAAAAAAAACATAAATTCTCCACTTGGATTCAAAAAACAATGAACCAATAAGTATAAGTCTTCAAGCTTGATGTTGTACAACAATCTAAAAAAATTCTATTTTGAAGGCTGGGGTACAGCTCAGTGATAGAGCACTTGCCAGCATATTCAAGGATCTGGGTTCAACCACCAGGACTGTGGTGGAAAAAAAAAATAGCATTAAAACAAAATAAAAGCAAAAGTGCTTTACTGCCTGTGGTTAACCCTGATCGTCAGATAGACTCAACTAAGAGGCTCCCAGGAGATTATAAACATTTCTGGGTGTCTGAGGGTGTTTCCAGAGTTGATTGGTACGTGAGACTGCAAGTGAGGGAGAGACTGCCCCAAATGTGGGCAGCAGCATCCAGCAGGCTGAGGGGCTGGATGGCAGAAAAGGTAAACATGAGGAAGTCCCAGGTCAGGCTTGTATGCGCTTGCTCTCATGCGGCCTCTGGCCGCCATGCTGTGACCAGACTGCTCTGCCATACTTCTGCCTCAAGTCCAAAGCAATGGAGCCAGCCAACCATGAACTGAAACATGGAAACCATGAGCCAAAACAGAGCTTTCCTCCTTTGAAATCTTTTCTCTCAGGTTTGTCCAAGTGATGAAAAGCCACCTAACACACACTGAAGGGAGAAAAGAAGACCATGGAAAAGCTATCTTACATTCAAACTTCTAAGAAATGGTCAGAAACAATAGCGGTGAGTACAATACGAAAGACGAGCATGAAGAAAGGATAAGGAAGTAAGCATTCCATCCTGGACCTGAAAAGGTTCAGTACCATCCCAAGCGCTGAATAATACTCTACCAAATTTCCTCACCCACCAAAGGCCCCAGTAAATGTCCTGCTCTGTTTATATTTCTTAAACAAAATTAGGGTGTGGCTGTGAAACTAGAGTCTCACCTTAAAAGTTTCCAGCAGTATACTCGCTCCGAGCCTACATGCGTGCTGGTGAGGCGTTCTAGAAAGACTGGAGCTGCTTCCAGTCATTTTTCCATCAACAATCTTCTTTGAACCATATGAATCCATTAAAATGAAACCAAATTCCACCAGGCCCTGAGTTACGTGATCCCAGCTATGAACACTGAAGAAAACAAGGTTTAGTTAAAAAAAGCTTAGTAAAATACCTACCTTTACACTCACTGTGAAGTTACACATTTCTTAACCAAGATAACCAACATGCTTCACATCTGAACTTTCCCCCCATGCGTCCTTAGACAGAATTCTGAACTCCTGTTTAGAGTAATGGAAATGGTAGGCAAGTGGACTCCAAGGACAGACAGAATGCAGAGAAAAATCCAGAAACTATAGCATCTTCAAAAATACGTAGAAGAGCCAGGTGGGGTGGTGCAGCCTGTAATTTCAACACTAGGGAAACTGAGGCAGGAGGATTGTGTGTTCCAGGCCAGCATGGACTACGTAATGAGACCTGTCATAATCCCACCATACCCTCTCCCTACAAATAAATGTGTATGTGCATGGCATATAGCATATTATTTACATACAGATGAAAAAGTTAGAATATTTCAATGTGATGACTATTTGAGATTCCCATTCAAGATTCATGACCAGCTATTAAGAGTTTTTTCTATTCCCCCATAATTGACAAGACATATCACGTACAAGCTTACAAATCTTAGTCTCCCAAGAGTGATATTCTCTAGGATTGAGGCCACGGCACAGTCATATTTTGACCCACAAAGTCTAGCATAAGGCTGGTACACAGAAGGTCCTCAGTAAATATTTTCTAACAAGAACAATCTGGTTTCTTCAATAGCATGAACTAAAACTACAAACAAGCTTTTGTAAAGCAGTGCAGTCCCGGATGACTGTATCCTTAATGTTACCTCGTTTAGTAGAAGTAGTAAGTCTCTATCATTATATGTACAGGCAAACAGCACCAAGTTGCAATGCAGCACTACAGAATAAAGAAGAGGCGTGCAGAGTCTCACAATACTTTTACAGATTGAGCAATATTCACACATGGAGCTCTGGGATCAACATAAACTGTGTACACGCTCATTCTTCCCACTCCAGTATGTACAGATGACATACTCTGGTTTCTCTTCAGATTTCTGTGTAAATCTTTCCCCTTTAAATATGTGTACATACAATGTGTATGTACATATATGATATAGCACATGTATATTATGAATGCTGTGTATGTATATACACACACAATGTATAAATTGTAGAGAAAAAGTATTTTTGATTGACCAGAAATTATGAAGACTCTGTAAATGAAAAGAATGTAGGATAAATGTGAAAGAGGAAGCACAGACTATGAGGTGCCTGCTACATGCTGGGTAAGCTGGAAGCCCTGAGGCTTTGTGATGGCTGCTGGGAACTGTCACATGAGCAGTTCGGTGCCTAACTTCCAAGTCTACCTTCTCCTCCAAGGCTCCCCTGCCAAGGCCCTAGTTTATGCCAAGAAGTAAGTAATAGAGACTCGGCCCTAGATGGTATCTGCAAGTAGAGGAACTTGAGACTTGTTCTGCCTCTTTGAGAGGCAGAGCAGCACCCTTCAAGAAACAACATGCTGGAAGATTAGGAAGGTCCCACACTCAAGATTACTATCCCCAAATCAGAGGTAGATGGTGTTAAACAGATACAGTACTCTCAATCTAATGGGGAACACAATGAATAGTAAGACAATAAATAGTCACCAAATACAATGCCACCATGAAGGAGAAGCACCAAAGTCAACCAGGAGAACTAACACCTGAAGACCTGAAGGTAAAGATTAATAAAAACTTATTTTTTTGAGGGGGGTTGGTGCTGGGGATCAAACCGAGGGCCTCATACAAGCTAAGTAGGTGTCCTACCCCTGTGCTACATCCCTAGACTGGGAAAAGATTAATAGAACAAACAGAAGAGCTTAAAAGTTTAATGAATATTTTCAGAGATAAGAGAGTATATTATAGAATGAACAAAAATTCAGGTTAAAAAAATCACGAAAAACAGGGCTGAGGCTCTAACTCAATGGTAGAGTCCTGACCTGGCATGCACAGGTTCCTGGGTTTGATCCCAGCACTTCTAAATCAATCAACCAATCCATTAATCATATACACACAACAGATTTGAGGGCTGGCAGAGTAGCTCAAGTCATAGAGTGTCTGCCTAAAAAGCACAAGGCCCAAGCTCAAACCCCAGTACAACAACAAAAAAAGAAAAATAACCAGTTGAAAATTCTGGAAATGACTAACATGATTGCTGAAGTAAAAACTCAATAGATGAACCTAAGAGTAGGTTGAACGCAGCTGACAAATTAATGAAAAGAAAAGTTAGGGGATTTTCACAGAACTTTGACAGAAAGAAAGAAAAAATATGAAAAAAACCGACATGGCAAGAGACCAAGGAATTCCAACATTAATAGGTGACAGAAAGAAAGAAAAAATATGAAAAAAACCAACATGGCAAGAGACCAAGGAATTCCAACATTAATAGGTGAGAACAGAGAAGAAAGAAAATAACAGAATATTAACCATAAATGAAAGGGGCTGCCCCAAAGATCAGGCAGGAGGCATGAAAAGGAACTTAGTAACTGTGTTAAATTTCAGAACAGCAAAGATTAAACAGAAAAATCTAAGCTTCTATGCAAGAAAACAGTCATAGATGGAGAAAAGAAACTGTCAGATATAGAAAACAGATTACTACAGTAAATAAAAACAAAAAAGCAGGCAGACAGCCTGCTTTTTTGTTTTGTTTTGTTTTTGGTCCAACTGGGGTTTGAACTCGGCTTTGTGCTTGCAAAGTTACAAAGCCAACAATCACAAAGCAGGTACTCTATTGCTTGAGCCACACCTCCAGTCTATTTTGCTCTGGTTATTTTGGAGATGGGGTCTCAAGAACTATTTGGCTGGCTTGGCCTCAAACGTCCAAACTCCCAACCTCAGCCTGCTAAGTTAGGATTACAGGTGTAAGCCACCAGTGCCAGTCATAGAGCCTGCTTTGTAAGTTTGAAGCCCTGAGTTCAAATTCCAGTATTGCCCCCCCAAAATCAGATAACCATCAGACTTTTCACAGCAATTCTAGATGATAAAGAATGAAAAATGATTATGAACTTAGAATTTTACAGCTGGCCAAACTATTGTTCAAGTGGGAGAACAAAAGAAAGGTAATTTCAGAAATGAAAAGACTCAGTTTATTCCCACAAAGCAAATCAGAAAAATTACTGCAAAATCTATGTATTTATGACATATTTACAAAAGAAAAACCTATGACTAAAAAATAGCAGTGAAGAAAGAAACCAGTAAACATCAAGTGTAGTTTAATAATCCTAACATGAAAGTGAAGAAGGAGGACTGAGGATGTAGCTTGGTGGCACAGCACTTGCCTAGCCTGCATGAGACCCTGTGTTCATTTGAAAACAGGAAGAGAACTAAGTGTTATGAGGATCCTTGTCATGGAGGGGACAGGGTTATAGGTGTACTGGTTCACAGGTGGCTCTTTTCTAATTCACTAATGCTTTGCATCTCGAAAGTCTGAATGGCAAGCTAGCACTGCTGAACACAGCAGACCATGGAAGGACACGATACAGTTCGTTGTTCCCATTACCTCGTTTCCTCCCTCATGGCCTAGTCCACAAACATACCAGTATCTCTGAAGTGTTTATTACATAGTTCTCACCAGTATTTGTGCATTTTGTCCTAACCCCCATAATTCAGCAATCTTGAAACTCCCTTCCCAGGTCACTTCAACTTGTTGCTCAAGGTAAACTTGTGCATTTATTACAGAACTTTTATGTTAAGAATATATATTATCTTTAGTGCACGGGTTACATGTCAAATATATTTTAAGTCGGTCCTACCTTATTCTCCCCACAAGGTGCTATTATTTTTAGAGTACAATTTTCTAGAACAGAAGGTTTTTCAGGAATACATTGTTTTATGGCAGAAATGCCTCATCTGTGAACTCTAGATACTAACAAACAAATCTAAGTCTACATAAAATAAAATACTACCAAAAAATGTAGGATTTACTATTTTGAGGTTAATTAACTAACAGAGAAAAACAAATATACCTAACCGGCAAGTTATTTTAGGGGATCTAATAATGTTATCCAAGTCCTTCTCCACCAAGCTCTGATCCCACCTGGTGTCAAAAACTCACTCCAGGCTATTTATAGATGGAGCTGCCTCTACGTCCTATGGCTAACGAGATTTCTCCAGAGATGGGCCACTTTTTGGGAATCTCCTTATTACTTACTGCCTGTTTCTTTAACCCATAAACTTTAGGGTAAAGAATACCAGGTACAGAGCAGATAAAGAAGTTTTAGAGCCTACCAACTGGTGAGCACTCAGAAATAATGAGTCCCAGTTTCAAATTTGCCCTGTGTGCCAAGCTCACATAAATTCAATCTACATCAGAATTATAAGACGTGGAAGAGAACTGCCTTAAGTATGGCTTAAACTATAAAACTTTAAAATATATTTAATCCATAAACAAAGAAGGTATGATAAAATAAAGTTTGTTACAACAGCTAATGTTTATCCTAAAATTAAAATAAAAATGAGGATGGTTACTGGTGTTTTCCATGTAGTTTTAAATGAATTTTTCTAAAACAATTAATCAATAAATCAATTCCAACTTGTCAGCCCAAACTTCAAAAGTCAAAGTAATTGAAACTTTGTATTTTTTACTGGTGTAAGAAAGAAAAGAAATCAGTAAAAACTCAGGCCCATGAAGAGTTGCAACATCATGGAACAAAGAAATCTACTTCAGTTTCATCTTGCTATCAAGGTGGTCAACAATCAGGCCCTGAAATGGAAGGAGTGCTCTACAAAGAAAACCCTTGCTTGACCAAATTAAGAGTTAATACCTTGATAAATGAAGTCGACAGCTGTAGTTGTTGTTTTGGGTTTTTGTGATGGGCCATAAGTAAGGCACCACACTGCATTTCTACCTTTGGAATGTGGTTTTACAACTCACCTGTTCTTCACCACTTCCAAGATTGTGGTGGACACACAACCTCTCTGAGGGACTAGATTCTGAAGAAACTTTGAGCTTTGAAGGAGCTGAAGATCCTTAAAGCTTTTCATAACCAAAGTCTTCAAAAGATCAAACACCTAACATAATCAGAGAAACAGAAAATGAAGCAAAAATCTAGTTCACGCTACAAGTCTGAACCATTTCCATGAGCTGTCCCTCACACGTATCCCCGTGACAACTGCTGAACGAGGTGGAGATGGTACACAAATTATGATTTTCAGAGTTGGAAGACAGGCTTTCCTTTGTGAGAAAAGGGCTAAAACTCAGTATGAACAATACACACAAGGCATAATGACTCATGCCTGCAATCCCTGTTATTTGGGAGGATCACAACTTTGAGGCCATCCTGGGCAACTTAGCAAGACTCTGTCCCAAAATTAAAATGGCAAAAAGGGGTGGGAGAGTAGGGAAAAATTTTCTTATCCACAATCTGGGAACCATACAATTAAAAAAAAGGCAGCCAGGCATGGCTCACGCCTGCATGCCTGTAATCCCAGCTACTCAGGAGGCAAAGATCAGAAGGATCTCAGTTTGAGGCCAGCCAGGACAAATAGTTCTTGAGACCCTATCTCAAAAAACCCTTCACAAAAATAGGGCTGGTAGAGTGGCTCAAGGTGAAGGCCCTGAGTTCAAGCCCTAGTACCACAAAAAGAAAAAAAGGCAAAGGATTTTATATGTTAGTCCCTGCATCTCCTCTATTCTCATTAACTTCAATCAACTAGGGACAATTTCTTGGCAAGCTGTAACATAATAAAACTGCTGGTGAATATCCAACTGTACTCCCCTTTCTTGCTATTTTGGGCCATTTGACATGATTCCACTCTTATTCCCACCTCACCACTGGCTTATTACACAACAGGAAATGGGAGGAATAAACCAAGTATCTAATGTCTTCCAGCAGCCCAAGAAGAGTGGAGCCTGCATATTTTTGCTGCTGGCAGGATGGGGGTGCAATTGTTTAGGAAACGTTAACAAGAAAAAGAGGAGCTGGGCATAGTGACTCACACCTGTAACACTACCACTCAGGAGCCTGAGGCAGGGGGAACATGAGTTCAAGCCAGTCTGGGCTACACAGTAAGATCCTGTCACAAAAACAACACACACATCCAAAAACAAAAAACAACAAAACCCCCAAACAACAACAGAAACCAAATCCAAAACTCCCCAAACTGGTTCTTATATGCTTTCCTCTCATCAACTACAGAAGGAACAAAAATGTCATTAAAAACAATACCTGTTCCTCAAATCTTTGTATTCTTGTTACAGAGAGAAGAAGAGCAATGCTGAAAGGGCTCAAGTATTTGCTAGAATCTCCTTGCTGTCCAGCCTAGAATGTAAACCAAAAAAGGAGTCATTATTTACACTGTAAAAGAAAACACAGCCTACTTAAAATGAGGTGTGTGACTGGATCAGAAACCTAAATGTAAGCTATAGAACATTTAGTAGAAAATATACAGAAAATTTTTAGGACTAGAAGTGGATTTCTTAGATATAATACCAAAAGTACAATTCATACAAGAAAATTAATTTAAAAAACTGGGCAAAAGATCTGGATATTTCACCAAAAATATTAGAATAGCTAATGAGTACATGGAAACATGCTCAATTATCATCAGTCTTTAGGAAACGCAAAGTAAAACCTCTATGAGATACCATTTCACATCCCTTTGAGTGGGTACCCTAAGAAAGAGGTAGCAAGCTGGCCAAGATGGAGAACAGGAGCCCTCATACAGTGATGGTGGGACTGTGCAACAACAGCCACTTTGAAAACTGTTTGGCAGTTTGTTGAAAACGTAAACATAAATGCGTGACACAAACCAGCAAATGAGACATGTACACAAAAAAACGTGCACACTGTTTGTAACAGCATTACTGAAAACAGAAAAAAACTCATGCCCATCAACTGGTAAGTAACCAAACAAAACTGATTTATCTATATAATGAAATAAATTCAACAATAAAAGAGAAAGTAAGTACTGATATATGCTACAATATGGATGAACTCTGAAAATATTACACTAAGTGAAAACACCATACTCAAAAGACCACGAATTATATGATTCCATTTACATTAACTGTCTAAGAAAGACAAAACCTATAGAGACTGAAAATAGACTGGGGGGTTGCTTGGGACAGGCACAGAGATGATGTGAGAAGGAGTGACATTATAAGGTGATAAAAATATTCTAAGACTGGGTTACAGTGGTAGTTTCAAAATAGGTAAGCTTATGAAATGCCATTGAATTGTGTACTTATAGTGGATAGATTTTAAATTATGTAAATGTACCTCAATAAAAATTTAAAAAAAAAAAAAAAGGTCTTTGAGGTCTTGAAGAAATGACAACAAAACAACAAAAGAAAAAAAGGAGGGTTGTGGTGTATGCAATTCAGTGGGAGTGCTTGCCTAGCAAACATGAGGCCCTGGGTTCAATCCCCAATACCAACCCCCCTCCAAAAAGAGAGAAATAAATACAAAATCCAAGATGAAAGAAACAAAAAAATATATATACAAAACAAAGTTCTTTTGAACAGGCCAAGAACAGTTACCATGAACATAAAGAGTGAGTAAACAGAGATGATAAGAGGGTTTCAAAGCCCAGATCACGGCCCCTAAATATTCTTTCCTACAAAATGGACTCAGGGCACCTTGAGAAATGGCTGGCATCAGGATGGGGAAGGAAAGTGCCAGCAATCCTTAGCTATCTTGTGCCACAAAAGTGCTTGAGGACCGATGTGGTCACATCAGAAGGACATACAAGCCAACCTGAAGGATCCAACTGGCCACTTGTAATTTTGAGCTCAAAACAGAAAACTGTAGTGAATCATGAGTACACAAAACTAAAAAAGGCTCATCAACATATAATGACATTCAAAACAATGAGAGGGAAGGCTTTTATAGAAGAAGGCCAGCTAAGAATGTATGAAGAATGACACAATTAAAATTTTCTAATTTTAATTCTACCACTTTGCAATTCCTTGAAAAACTACTGATTTAGGCCAAGAATCAATAGATGGGAAAATGTGGGCTGAAGATGTAGCTCGGGTAGACTGCTTACCTAGCACATGCAACACCTTAGGTGGGCAAACAAAAACCATCACCTAAAAGGCTGGGAAGGGACTAACGTGCACTCAAGTGGTGATCCCATACATTATTTAACTCCAAAGAGATACACGTGTCTTTAGAAATGAAGAAAACTGCTAGTCATTACCTTAGCCAGGCAGTTTGGCATCACCAGTAGGGGAGCCTTAGTACTGTGTGTCTCCTAGCAAACTACAGCCTGTCAGTCAAGTGCAGCTCAACACCTGTTTCTGCACAGCTGTGAGCAGTCAGTCCTACATTTTTAAATGGTTGGAGGTGACGGAGATCAAAGAATAATATTTCAGAACATGACAACTAAATATAACTCAAGTGTCAATGTCCATAAACATAAATTTTTTGGGACACAACCACACTTACTTGCGTACTATGGCTGAGTTCGTGAGTAATTGTGACAGACCGCCTAGCCTGAAAAACCTGAAATATTTGGTATCTGGCCCTTTAAGAGTTTGAGGGCCTTTGCAAGGGAGAGTAAAAACCAAGGTTGAAGGTCATGTGAAATACAGAGTTAAAATTAGATGGAGTTTCCTGCACATTCTTCAGTTTTTTTTTTTCCTTCCTTAGAACAGTTTTTTTTTTTCTTTTCTTTTTGGCAGTACCAGGGTTTGAACTCAGGGCCTCACACTTGCTAGGCAGGTGCTCTACCACTTGAGCCACTCTGCCAGTCTTAGGACAGGTTTTAAAATGAAACTTTTTGGTTTGCTTGTGGGTGTGAGGACATCATATATTTTCCACTTCAAAATAAAGATCCTGTAGACTCAGAGTTCTGCATTTGTGCTTCCTGTCATTAACTGGCATAACACAGGCTGAAGCCCAGACACTGCTGTTTCATAGAGACCTGGTGCTACCTTTAACTGCTTCACAAGTTCTCGGCCTAGTTCACAGTCCAATTTGATGGCAAACACAGTGTGTAGAATGACGGTGCCTTGCACATGACGAAGTTCACCTGATGGCACAGTAACAAGATCCAGCAGCCTGGAAGATTCAACAGAAAGGTGTAAGCTATAGATGGAGTGACAAAGCGCAGGTCCTTTGCTCAACAAGGAGACCAAGTCAAGCTGAACTCACATGAGCAATGGATGGTAAAGAGAGAACCCCTGTTCTCTGCTCCTTTTTACAGCAAAATTTGCCAAGAAAATTGTATGTAGTCATTATTTCCACTTCCTTATCGCATATTTTTTCTCCTGTTCAGCTTAATTCAATCTGGCTCTGTCCTCTCCTACCCTCATTCCCAATGTCATTGACTATTCTTGTAAGGGTCACAAATGACCTCCATGTTACCAAAAACCAAAAGTCCCATCTTAATTAGCACCTCAGCAAATTTAACAGTTAACCATATTTTCCTTGAAAAACTCTTTTTTTTTGAGACAGGGTCTTGCTATTTAGCCCAGGCTGGCCTTGAACTCAAGATCCTCCTGCCTCAGTCTCCCAAGTGCTGAGATTACAGGTGTATGCCATCACACCCAGCTTCCTTGCAAAACTTTCTTCTCTCACCTTCCATGGCTCAACTGTTGTGATCTCCTCCCAATTATTTTTGGGGAGAGGAGTGTGCTTCTTTAACTTCAGGACACCTTGGTGCTCATTCTGGGTTCTTTCCCTTCACACATTCCCTGGACGATTCTACCCAGTCCCATGGTTTTTAGTCCCTTAGAATCTGTGCTTCTAGTTCAGACTTCTCCCCATAACTGCAGACCACCTGTTCCACATCTCCACAGGGGAAGCTAATATACACCACACACCTAAAGTGGTCAACACTGAGCTCATTATTTTCTTGGAAACCTGCTCCATTCTAGTCAATTTCCTAAGCCAAGTAATTAGAAATTATTAGATGAGAAACAGAGTTAGGGTGTGGATCAAGTGGTAGAGCATCTTCCTAGCAAGCATGAGGCCCTGAGTTCAAACCAGAATACTGTCAAAAAAAAAAAAAAAAACCACAAGAAGCAGTAGACTGCACTGGAGTTAACAGCTCAAACTTCTCTCCTGCCAGAATCTTGGCTTGATCACTTTCTAGCTGTGTAACTTTGGAAAATTCCTTCATTTTTCTGTCTCTTGGTTTTTACACACATAAAAAACAGGCAAAAATAGAGTTGCAAGGATTCTAGTCCTTATAGCAGCAGCTGGAACAAAACAAGCACTTTAAAATGTGTTGCTTAAGATAAAAACATAAAAACAGCAATCCTCAGCACTTGGGAGGCTAAAATAGGAGGAAACAGGAGGACTGCGAGCTCAAGGCAAGCTTGGACCACATCTCAAAAGACAAACAAACCCTCTTGTCAGCTACGCCACACTGAGCATTGCCTTGTGCCACCCACCCGCCCCAGGATGCTGTTCCTGACCTACATGTTGTGGTTCTTATAATCCAGGCTTCAGCTAAAGCAGCACCTTCCCAGGTTTCCCTTGATCCGATCTAAAGCAGCTCTGCTATCACTGCTGCAGTGCTTCTTTGAATTCTTTTCACAGCACTTTCTGCTCACTAAAACTTAAGCTCCACAGCACAGAGGTTTCATCTGATTGGTTCATCACAGCAGCCCCAAGGCCAAAGCATTACTGGTACAGTGTAGACACTTGATCAAGAGTTTTTAAGCCTGCATTTCACAGGATAATTACTGCTCTTTTCCTGGAAGGTGTAAATGAAAGAACTGGAGAGGCTGCATTATTCTCCAAACTCTACTGAGCAGCTAGGAGGATTAGAGAAGTTCCGGTTGAGGTGAAGGTAGGGTGAAAGGGAAAGTAACAATGACATAGCTAGAACACATAATGGAAGGAAGAATGTATAAAATTATCTTCACTTCTTTTTTATTTATTTATTTTTTTGATCTTCACTTCTAAACAGTATTACTCACTCATCACCACTCTGATCCTCACTGTGCTGCTGATCTAGCTCACTGAAGAAGGATATGATTCCATCCAGAACACTCTTTCTGCTTCCCTGAAAAAAACATAATAGGTTAATTCTTCCAATTAAAGGGTAAAATAACCAAACTGAATTTAAAGTACTTTCCAACTTTAAAGACTATCAGGTATTAGACTGGAGGTGTGGCTCAAGTGGTAGAGCACCTATTTTGCAAGTGTGAAGCCCTGAGTTCAAACCCCAGTCCCGCCACAAAAAAAAGAATTTTCAAGTATGGATTTAAATAAACAAGCTACAACGTGGAGCCACAGTAAGAATGTATGGAACACTTTCAAGATGAAAAAGGATTTGAAATACCTCTTAAGAGTTGGGCTTTAAGAGGCCTACAGTCCAGCTTTTCTGAGATCTTTCTATTTCTCTTACAAAGAAATTATGGTAGAAGAGATAACATGAGATAACATAGCTGAGAAGCATAAGCTTTTTACTAGATCAAATCATCATAGATGAAATAAAAACATCTATGTCTCATATGCAAAGCAACAGCACAACAAAGCTGAATGGCCACAATTGGTCATGTTATAAGAATTGAGAAAGAACTTTCTACTTATACCTTTGAGGACAAAACCAGAAGCTGATAGACTAAAGGTGGTATTTCTTGAAGATTCAACTTGGAAAACATCTTCAACACTTTTTCCACCACCAATTCCAACTCTTCTGCAGTCAGAGGGACATCCCTGTGGATCAAAGATTCTTAAAGTTTCTGTCCAGAGCTTACCAGCCTTGTTAGAAATCCATTTTAGGGTTTTACAGTAATTAAAATTCCATTAAACATTTTTTCAAGAAATAAAATTTGGAATCAGAGAACAAAGGAAGTATTAAACTTTTGCAACTATTTCTTCTGATTTTTCTCATGAAAAAAATTTAAGGAGATCAATAACCTTACCTAAGCAAAATCATCTTGGAAAATCATAGTTATACATTAAATGAACAAAGCCAAAAAGGGGATGGAAGGGAGCTCCATACAAGAAGATGGTGTTGGAGCTGGCTGTTTCGATATCCAGCAGACGAGTTCAGAAAGTAGGATATAAAGAGAAAAAGGAATGATAATACTTACTTGAACATGGAGGTGAGCTGGATTACATACTGCTGATCCCATCTGGATAAAGACAGTGAGGATGAGTTTATTTTATTTTAACTTATTTACATGTGACTTTGTAAGACCAATGAGGAGGAAAAAATTGGTCCCTTTCAAGTTTGATTTTGCAATCGTGGCAACAAGATAAAACAAATACATGAAACAATAATCAGTTTTTAACTTTTCAGATTGGCAAAATCAATTTAAAACCCAATACTGGTGAGATTATGGAAAACAAAACACACTTCACGTCCTATTTTACAGAGTGTACAGGAAGTTGGCAATGCTGTCAACCTTAAAAATGCATATAACCACAGACCCACCTAACTTACTATTTGAAACATATCCCATACACATGCTTGTATGGTCATTTAGATACATAAACACATCCATTACAATACTTTTGTAATACTAAAATATTCGAGCCAGTTATAGTGGTGCATGCCAGTAATCCCAGCACTTGGGAGTCTCAAATAAAAGGATCTTGAGTTGGAGGCCAGCCTCAACTACATATAGAGTTCAAAGACAGCCCAGGCTACATAGCAAGACCCTGTCTCAAAATTAATTAATTGATTAATTAAATAAATGAGAGAAAAGGAGGGAGGGAGGGAAGGAAGGAGAGAAGGAAGGAAAGAAGGAAGGAAGGAAGCCTAGAGGACTACATTGTTATGTTAAGATGGACAGTCAAGTAAATTGAGACTATGTAGAGTTTTACAACAGAGAATGTAGTAATTACCTCTTTCTTGAAAACTGACTGCAGACTGAATGTTTCATGGTAGGCCAGGCACCAGTGGCTCATGCTTATAACCTAGCTACTAAGGAGGCAAAGATCAGGAGGATCATGGATCGAAGCTAGCCCAGGCAAAGAGTTCATGAGACCCTATCCAGAAAAAAAACACAATACAAAAAAAACCAAAAACCAAAAAACAAAACCAGAGCTGGTGAAGTGGCTCAAGTAGTAGAGTGCCTGCCTAGCAAGGGTGATGCCCTGAGTTCAAACCCTAGTGCCACCAAAAACAAAAAAATACATACATACATAAAATGGTTTATGGTGGTATACCCTAAATGACAATAAAAGAATGGACTAAACTACAAATCTAAGTTCCTGAAATAAAGGCAGCTATTGTTTTAGCCACGTGCAGTCCTGAGGAAGTTCTACACATTCACAAGAAAGGCTCACCTGCCAGAACAGAGAGTGTTGATCAGCTGCTTCTTACATTCTTCTCCACTGGATTCACCTAGAAGTGCAAAACACACTGAGAAACACGCTGATGTGTGAAGAGAGAATGGCTACTATAACTGGAGGAAAATTACCTTTTCCATAGGCCAGATTTTCCTTCTTGGTAGCCAAGGCCGTGAGAATAATGGGCAGTAACTCCAAAGACTTTCCACTGATGAGGCTGCCCTCTTTGATAACTCCAATAAACTCATTGGCCAGTTCAACCAATAATGGTCCTGGAAAACGGTGAGCCTTAAAGTCCAAGAGATGAAGAAAATCTTACGCACGAATGCAATGTTTGAAATCTCTTTCCAAGAAGTAAGTCTTTTGCTGAAATAGTGCCATTGACACTGAGACCCAGAACTGGTACTGAGAGACTCATGGACTCTGTTCTTCTGTTACAGATGTACAACTGTGAAGGCCTTCAAAGGAAAGGCTCCATCACTTCCCTAATGTTTGCAAATTCTTCAAGGCGACATGTCCATGGTACCAGAAAAGCAAAGTGTACATCTAGGTGGTTTATAACTCATTCACCAACTTTTCTGTTTTTAATAATAGCTCTTATCCATACACAGAAAATATGGCAAGTTTGTATTTAAGCGTTCCTTCCCACAACAAATTATAGCTACCCGGAAACAAGTAGGTTGGTTCAATCTTCCATCTTACCTCCAGCATTAGTAATCCCATGATCTCAGATGCTACTTGTTTCTGTAAATCTCCTGATTCCACTAGATGGATACAACAAGTGTATATCTTATGTCTCCTAAGGACTCCATCCTCCTCAGAGCAGGGGGAGCCTTGTTGTTTGAAACAAGTGATACAGAACAAAGAAAGGGAAAAGGAAGAAGTTTTAACAAGGCTGAAGGGTAAACAGGAAAAAGAAATTTGTAATTCAATATGGAAACTGGATTATAAAACTACTGATTATTAATGGTGGACAGCAGCATGGAGGGGCTTTGAAAAAGAGATTAATTTAGCCAAAATAAAGGGACTAGAATATCATCTTTTGCTTATTAATTTTAGTAATTATATAGTACAGGAGGAGGAAACCATCTAATTTTAAGACATTTTGGGAAGGGAGTACTCAGTAATTAATGCCTTTAACACACTTCATTTCAACTGATATCAAAAGAATGACAAAGTAATGAGAACCTCTCAAAGTAATGAGAGGAAATACCTCTCTTCCATGAAAGACATGAGGACACTGTCAAAAAACAGCCAAAATCAACTTCTTTAGACCTCTGGAAACCAACTAAAGACTTCAACAACACAAGGAGTGTGTGAGACCCTGGTGGATCTCACATGTGATCCTAGTTACTGAGGAGGAGCATAGTTCCAGGCCAGTCCAGGCAAAACCATTGTGAGACCCCATCTCAATGGAAAAGCTGGACATGGCAGTGCAACCTGCCATCCCAGTGATCCTCGGGAAGTGTCAAATAAAAGGACCACACCCAGGCCAGCCTGGACGAAGTGAGACCCCCACCTCCAACATAACCAGAGCAAAAAGGGCTGGAGGTGTAGCTCAAGTACCAAAATGCCTGCCATCACAAGCACAAAGTTGTGAGTTCAAATCCTGGTACCACCAAAAAAAAAAAAGAGAGAGAGAGCATATGCGGGCAGGAGAAGTGGTGTCTGGCCCTTGCCTGTGACAGGAAGGCCTTGCTGAAAACACAACAAGTTGCGGCAGCTACACATGGTGACAGCAACACACTCACTCAGCCAGGAGCACACCCACGCTCAGGGAGCTAAGGTGGAAGCATAAAAGAGGAGAATCAGAGTCCAGGTGCCTAGGCAAAAAGCGAGACCCCATCTCCAAAATAACCAGAGCAAAAAGGGCTGGACGTGTAGCTCAAGTGAGAGAGCGCCTACCGTACAAGTTTTAAGCCCTGAGTTTAAACCTCAGCACTGACAAAGTACACCTGAATCTCAGTGAAAGCCGCAAGCTGTCTGGCATTTATCCCTAGCCCAGCCCAGCAGCCATACAAGTGACAAGACATTCAGACAGCAGTATTTCCCAAATTCATGTGTAGATTCAACACAATCTTCACTAATACATCAGCTTCTTCTGTTTTGCAGAAACTGAAGCTTATCTTAAAATTTATATGGAAGCATACAAAATCCACAATATCCAAAACAATCATGAAAAAGAAGCATTTCTTACCACAAAGTTATGGTAAGTAAGACTGTGTGGTACTGGCATAAGGAGAGACAGACAAATCAAGAACAGATCTGACAGGCCAGAAATAAACCCTTGCATTTACAGGCAATACCATATACAAAAATTTACTCAAAGTCAATCAAACACTTAAATGTCAGAGATAAACTAAGCTGCGTATGGCAGTGCACTCCTATAATCCCATTACTCAGGAAGCAGAGATGAGGATTATAAATGCAAGGCCAGCCTGGGCTATATGAGACCTTGTCTCAAAAACAAAAACAAGGAAAGAGAGCTAAAGCTATAAAACTTTGAGAACACAGGTATAAATCTTCATGATCTTGGATTAGATAATTGTTTTAGCTGTAACACCAAAAGAACAAGCAACTAAAACAACAAAACAGATGAACCATACATCATCAAATTTTAAAACATTGTGCTCCAAAGAATGCCATTAAAAAGGCAACCCACAGAATGGGAAAGAATTTCTGCAAATTTTATGCCTAACAAGAGACCTGTGTAGGAATCAGTACAACTCAGTATTAAAAGACGGTATGATTTGGAAAGAGCAAAGGACCTGAACAGACAGTCCTCCAAACAACGGCCAGTAAGCTCATGAAAAGGTGCGTGATGTCATCAGGCACCACAGCAATGCAGATCAGACTCAGGAGACCCACTCTGCCCTCACCAGGATGGCCAAAATGAGAAAACAAACCATGAGTATTTAGAGGCTGTACAGCCACTCTGGAAAAAGTTTGGCAGCTCCTCAGTTGAACATAACCTATGACCAGCTAAGCTCCCCAGTTAATAAATGTACCCTGTGACTAGCAATTCCACTCGAGATTTACTCAAGAGAAATAAAAACTTCCCACAAACAAATACACAAATATTCAGACCAGTATTATTTATAATGGCCAGAAAGTAGCAACAACCTAAACATCCATCAATGCATAAACAAAGATGTGGCATCTCCATACAACGGAATGTCACCTGGCAGTGAAAGAAAGCCCGCTACAACACGGATGCACCTTGGGAACATGAGGTGAAGAGTCAGTCTCAAAGGACTGCGTGCGGAGGGACTCCACTTACAAGAAACGTCCAGAGTAGGCAAATGTACAGACAGAAAAAGCAGATCAGGGTTTCTTAAGGCAGGGATGGGTGGGGGCTTTAGGGAGATGACAACTAATGGTTCAGTGCTTCTTTTAGGAGTAATGAACTCTGAATATACTAAAAGCCACTAAAGTGAGTATTTTAAATGGATAAACTGTGTGATAGGTCAACATTCTCAATGTGATAACAAGAGTGTACTTTAAAAGGGTGAATATTTTATTATGTGGATTATGTCTCAAGTTTCTTTTGGTTTTTTTTTCTTTTTTTTGGTGGGGCTAGGGTTTGAACTCAGGGCTTCCTACTTGCAAAGTAGGTGCTCGATTGCTTGGGCCGCACGTCCAGTATATTTTGTTCTGGTATTTTGGAGACACTTCTGCCTAGGCTGGTCTCGAACCGAGATCCTCCTGATCTCAGCCTCCCAACTAGCTCAGATTACAGGTGTGAGGCACCGGTGCCCAGCTTGTATTCAGTCTTCACAACTATGGGTTATATACACAAGCAATTTAACAGGACTAAAATGATTTGAAGGTAGTTTCCATAAACACTTGATAATGCATGATATTTTAGGCTAGGCTTTCCAAATGTGCTTCTAACATGGTTGGTCATCAAAGTAAGAGTCGTGCTAAGTTGTCCAGGTTTGTCTGGCCAAGAAATAAACTATCCTTATCTCTTCTATTTAGTAGTGCAGATAGGCAGTGCTGCTACTTCGTTATTTCCTTTGCTCTGCTATTTCTGAAGTATTCAGCACATTTCTAAGAAAATTGACTTGAGGGATTCTGAAGGTTCTTGTTGAAGAGGAAGAGTATTCTGTGCCCTTCCAAAGGAGACTCAATTTTTTTGTGGACCCAGTTAACATAACCATTAGGAGTCCAAAGCCACTTTTCATTTTGCTTGTAGAATTTTACACTGCTACAACTTATAAAACCACGAGTCACAATCTGAACACAGAACTGACCCTTGTTTAAGGCAGGGAAACAAACAAGACTCATTGGGAAATCTCTATGAAGGCACACAGATATTCCATTCAACCCCAGAGCTCCTTGGCCCCTTGACAAATGAGCACAGTGAGTACTAAACATGGTTGTTCTCTTCTCCACAATTTCAAAAGCACAACTAAACCGAAACAGGCTCCAAGATCTGCACTATAATCGCTGGTAGTCACTCTACTGCTTTAGTTATTCTGTAGAATCCCCCAAGCACAGAAACGTTCCTGTGCGATTTCAACAGTAAGTAGCAGCAGTGCCCAGAGTAAACAGATCTACCAATGAAACCAGTGAGAGAAGCAAAATTAATGATTACCTTTGAAGATGGCTCTCAGGAGGGCTCCAGTGTGTTTTCCTTTCACTGCATGAATCTGAAGGAGATTAGTCAACTGCAATCAAAGAAAGAAAAAAAATCACAAGTCTCTGGAAATAGGTCCTTTACCTAAATGACCTGTACACACACATGAAAAGGCACAGTCAGGTTCCAATCACTCAGAGAACCCAAGGTTCACAAATACTTAAATTTTTATTTAGACAGACCAGAGCAGATCTTAATAGGATCCTGGGCCATCAAGACTAAAATATACTCAGAAATTCATTCGACACACACTTACTGAGTATTTAGTCAGCAATAGTTATTTTATGCTATATTTTTGGGACATATACTCATCTTTTTCCTAGGTACAATGTAAGGATGAACAAGATGGACGTGGTACTTCAGTTTATAACAGGATGGGAAAGGGTGACAAAAAAAAAAAAAAAAAAAAAACACCAGAAAAAAATTTGAAAAGGAAACAAAAGAGAGACAATCACTGAAGAAAGGGAGGCAACTTCAGCTAGGGTAGTCAAAGTTTCTCAGGAGGTGACATTTAAGCAGAGACATGGAGTATGAGAAAGAGCTATTTATGCAAAAGAGAAGAGGAGACCAAGGTACTCTGTGCACAAATGCCCTGGAGGAGCGAAGAGCTTGGCATGGTTAAGCACTTGAGGTTAAAAACAGGACCAATATGGCTAGTGAGTAAGAAGGAAAACAAGGTGAGTGTGCAGCAATGGGCAAGGATCAGGCCATGAAGAAACTTTGGCCATGGTAGAAACTTAGACTTTGTCTAAGTGCAAGAGAAGTTGCTAAAGAAAAAGGAGTGAAATGATAAGACAGTAAGAATCAATCTTGCTCCTTATATAGAGAATGGGTTGTGGGGAATTTAAGAGTAAAACAGAAATACCTGTTAGGAGATGCTACTGTGTTCCAGTGAGAGAGGAAAGTGGACAAGCCCAAAAAGACAGCAGGGGAGATGCATGGGTTGTGCTGTGTCTCCCTCAAATCTCCTATGTTGAAGTTTTAACTCCCAGTACCTCACAATGTAACCTCATTTTGAAGTGAAGTTGTTGCAGATGTAATTAAGTTAAAGTTATTAGGGTGGGTCCTAATGATTGACACCCTTATAAAAAAGGAAAAATCTGAACAGACAGGTACATAAGGAAAATGTCATGTGAAGACAAAGGGAGGGAGCAGGCGAGCCAAGGAATGGCAAAGATGGCCAACAAACCTTCAGAAGCTAAGGGGTAGGCTGGGAACAGATTCCCACAGCCCTCAGGAGGAGCCAATACTACCAACACCTTGATTCTAAACTATTAGTTTCCAGAATCATGGAAAAAATCATCTTTATTTAAGCACCCCAGTTTGTGACTTTTGTAACAACAATCTTTATGAGCACACTAATATAGAAAGAGAGATTCGAGATACGTTTGAGAGCTAGATGTGCAAATTCCTCATCGTTTGGAAGTGAAGCGGGTACAACGCTAAAGGAAACAAAGATATCAAGGCAAACTCCTAAATTTCTGGCTTAAGTAAAAACTGAATGGATGGTGGTTCCACCCATCTAAATAACCTTGAGGGCTTACAACAGCCTGCTAGATCCCACCTACACTTTCTGCGTCAGGAGGTCTTTTGTGGATCTCAGAACCACCACTCTGAGATATCCAGGTAGAAATGCCAAATAGACAACTGAACATGCCAAACTAGAGGTCAGAGGAGGGTTCAATGAAAGCAGATGAGACTATCCAGACAGAGAATATAGTATGAGAAACGCCAAACATGAAGCAGCTGCCAGCAAAGAGCATTGCGAAAGTGAGACCAATAACATAAAAGGATAATCCAGGGAGACGAGTATCCCAGAAACCAAGACTAATAAAATGATAAATTTGATTTCTTCTACAACTTCCTGAGCTTGGTCTTTCTAACCCAGGTCCATGAACATGTAATAAGAAAGTTCCTGACAGCTCTTGCTCCAACCCTCCAGACACTTGGTGTAACCCTTAAGGCAGGGATTCTCAATCAGGAGTGATTTTTTTCTCCCTCAGGGCTCACTAGACAATGCCTGGAGACATTTCTGGCTATCACAATTGGAAGGATGCTACTTGAATCTAGTGGTAGAGGCCAGAACAACAGAATTATCCAGTTCAAAATGTGAATAGGTTGAAAAACTCTTATTGGAAAAGTTCATTTTCATCAGAAGGCAATAGAGCATACAAAGAAAATAAAGAAGCTGGCTCCAGAATCAGACCTGGCTGTGAACCCTGGCCAGGCCATTTACTAACTATGTAACTACAAGCAAGTTATTTAATCTGTCCTGTGGTCCATTTCCCTACCTGAAAGAACTAAAATAATGGGTACAGGACCGTCCAAGGCTTAGCACACAACATTGATTTCCTTCTCTTCCCTCTGTCCTTTCTTCCCTTTTCTCCTCCCTCTACTTACTAGATCTTCAGTCTTCTGAAGATCTGGAGGGGAGGATCAGGAGTTCAATGCCAGCCTGAGCTACACAGTGAGTTTAAGGCTAAACAACTCTCCCTTTCCAGTGTTTTCTATTTCTGTGTATGTTTTTTTCTTTCTTTTTTTTTTCTTTCTTGGTAGTCTTAGGTTTTGAACTCAAGGCCTCATACTTGCTAGGCAGGAGCTCTACCACTTAAGCCACAACCCCGGCCCTTAGTCAGCATTTATTTCTTCCTGTTTTACCTTTTTTTGTTACTATTGTAAATGTGCATGAATGAGATTGACTTTTGCGTACTAACTTGATATTCTGCTACCACAAATTCATAATTTATAGATGATTTTTATCACCAGTTCTCAAGTTTTGTAGGTATACTATCAGTTCATCTGCAAAAAGAGATGGTTTTACATCTTTTTCCTGTTCTATGCCTCCTGAGGCTAACTGCAATAGCTTGCAGACCAGATCAACATTCAATAGTACTGGAGGCAGTAGAAATCACTGCCTTGTTCCTGGACTTGGTGGAAATAGGCTAGGGCTCCCCATTAAGATGCTGACTTATATGTCGTTTATCATGTTAGCAAATACCCAGCCATTCTTACTTTCTCAAGTTTTTGTTAGGAATGGGTGCTGACTTTTGCCAAAGGCTTTCTCTGGTCAATGAAGATAACCATACGGAATTTATAGGACACATTTTCTAATATTGAGCCTTCATTATATTCCTGCTATTAAAGCCACTTTATCATGTTTTTTTATTTTGTAATATGGTGTTGAAATTTGTTCACTGATGTAAGATTTCATCACTATTTGTAAGTGGTATTAGTCTGTAGTTTCCTTTTTTTATGCTATCTTTATCAAGTTTTAGGGTATCAATGTTATGCCTGCTTCATTCAAAATCTTCTTTTTATTTATGCTCTGAGATAATTTATGTAGTATTAAGACTACCTTTCTGATCTCTAAAGATTAGAAGTCTCCTGTGAAAGTGTTTGGGTGTGGCATTTTTATTTGAAGTAATTCTTTGATAACATTCTTTTTTTCTTCATAATTGGTCTGGTTATACTTTCTATTGCAAATTGGGTCGATCTTATCAAACTGTATGTGCCAAAGAAATACATTTCCAGAACTTGGGATGTAGGTCAGTGGTAGAGGGCTTAAAACATTCCTCAAATTCCTTTTAGAAAAAGGTAGAAAACAGATTCCAAATAAATAAATAACTTAAATGCTGGTTTTAATCAACTCTGGTCTATCAAATGATTTAACTCACTCAAAGAGCTGTCTCAAAAAACTGCTACAAAACTAATCGTGGATAATTTCAAAGAAAAAAAAAGATCAAAGAGTATACCTACATAAATTCCTGGTTAGTACACTGGATAACTGAGATTAAGCTGCACCTAGTTTCAACACTAGCACTAACAATTTCCTTAAAAATACAATAATGTCCTAACTTGCTTACATATATGTTAATGCTTAAGGCTCATGTTGAAGAGGGATTCTTTTCCAGGCAGAGATCTGCATAAGCTAAGGTCATTTATCTTGAAAAAAAGGAACAAGATAGCAAGTAAGAAAATTAAGAATAAAAAGAAAGATTAGGAAAAATAAGCTAATATAATGTAATTGTTTCCTTTTTTTTTTTTTGGTGGCTTGGGGTTTGAACTCAGGGCCTCACACATGCTAGGCAAGCACTCTTACTAACGCCACCCTGCCAGCCCTTGTTTTGTGAAGTGTTTTCTCAAGATAGGGTCTCATGAACTATTTGCCGGGGCTGGCTTCGAACTAAGATCCTCCTAATCTCTGCCTCCTGAGTAGCTAGGATTACAGGCATGAGCCAAGCTATTGTTTCATTTTATAATCATGGAATTACACAGAAGACTTGGGCATTGACTTTCTCTTTTACTAATACTCTGAAAACATTTTGCTCAAGCAAGAACCCAATTCAAACCCCAGCTCCACCAAAACAAAACACATTTTCCTGCTCATGAATTTATTTCCTTTAAGGAAAAATATAAATGAAGAAGTATCAACAGCAAAACTGATGTCTCAGATCAATAACTGCAGTCTGGATATTATCCTCAAATAAGGATTGTTCTGAGGTTCTTAAAAATATGCTAATTTGCGCACACACACAGTAGTAAAAACATTCCAAGGCTCTTTCAGGTTTAAATCTAGTCACAAATGGCCTTAAACTGTCTATTTTTCTCACTCCCCCAATTTCTTTATATCTCTGAATTGTTAACAAATAAATCCTTATCTCCTCAGGAAGACTGGTGAGGTAAAGGTAGTAAAGTAAGTTCCTTCGTGCTCTTTTTGAATTTGTCACCAGGCTTGACATTTGCTTCCAGGAGAAAATGTACTCACATCATCTTCTTTCAGGGTTTGAAGAAATTCCTGCAGTTTATCTGCTGTTTTATCTGCTGCTAGAGATAAGATTTTCTGGTCCATTGCTGCTTACACCAGTTTTAACTGTAAGGGAAAAAATGCCAGAGCTGAATGAGCCTCCGAGAGTAAACAAGCTTGGTTTGTTTCCACTTCGCTACCTGAATATTTCATACCTATTATAGTACGCCCACCTTATTTACAGATTTATTACACATGGTTTTGACCAAGTACAATCAAAACATTTTTTAATTAAAAGAATGTCAAGCCAAGCACAGTGACTCAAGCTGTAATCCTAGCTGCTTGGAAGGTGGGTCGAGAGGATTGTGATTTGAGCCCAGCCTGGGCAAGAAGCTCATGAGACACCATCTCAACCAGGGCTGGGCACATGGCATGCATCTGTCACTCCAGCTACTTGGGGAAGCACAGACAGGATTTCAGCCTAGGCTAGCTGGAGAATAAAGTTCGGCCCTATCTCAAAAACAATCAACTCAAAAAAGGGCTGGCAGAGTGGCGCAGGTGGAAAAGCCTAGTAAGTGTGAGGCCCTGATTAAAGTCCCAGTACTGCCAAAAAAAAAAAAAAGTCAAAAAAATTTTAAACTGCCACATGTACATTATGTGACTCAGCTGATGTGGAGAGACCCTCACTCAGCACTGTGGTACTGTCAGCTATTGTTAAATATGCGATCTGTTGAGTGTTTTTGTGCCCTTAACTTTGTGAAAATCTGTCTCCCAAAAAGTAAATGGTATCCAAAAAAGCACGGTAAAAGTTATGGTTATCCTTCCAAGGAAAACGATCCAGCGTCCACAGCATTGCAGATAAAGAGCGTTACAATCTGGCTTTTGTTGAGGAGTAGTGACATATATATACATACAACAGTGACTTCTGTGTACTGCAGCCCACTCCAGGTGGTAGGTAAAGCTATGAATGTTCACACCTACTGTACATACAGTACAGATAAATTTGAGCACTGTGTTTCCTGGAAACACATACCTGCAGATACCAAGGCTCTGCTACAAACACTCATAGTAGGTGAACAGATTAGCAATTACCAGCTGCTATGAGAAGCTGATTCTTACCCTAACCAAAATAATCTCAAACATTCCCTGGAATTTCATTATTAGGAATCTATATTCCAATCAGGTGGTTTCACAATTTTTGCCCACATTTTTATCATCTGCTCAACACACTGCCTAAAACCAAACTGCTATTTAACTGCATATCAAATACATTATGAAAACATATACAAGAGTATATATTACAAGCATGTTAGTAAGCAAATGAGTAAACCAACAGTCCTGTAAATGCTAAATGTGAACTAAGTGGTACAAAAAAACAAGTGAGACATTAACAAGACTAAAAATGTAACTGTGTGCTCAAGTGTTAGAATATGTCCCAGCAGAGGAAAGCTTGAACTAGAACTGAGATTAAATTTAGGTAGTCAAGACAATCAGAAGGATGAGGGTATCACGATGAAAGCACGCATGAGAACTTAAGAACTTATTTGGGAAAATGAGTAAACTGATGTAGACAGAGTTCATGTAGAACGGTGAGTAAGAAGGCTAAAAGGATAAGATGAAAATAAACTGTGCAGGGTCTTAAATGCCAGGTTAAGGAACTTAGATTTTGCTCTGTAAATAACTGAGAACTATCAAATTTTCTGAGCAAAAGGGAATCTGGTAAGATTGAAACTGTTTGAAACAACTAAACCTCACATTATTGTGCAAGCTAAAGTGGGAAGGGAGAAAGGAGAAAGAGCAGAGACCAAGAGACCACTTAGAAGGCATGTTAGTGGTGACTCTGTGCATCGGAGAGGGAGATGGAGACATGCTGGGCAGACAGGAATGAGCGAGAATACAGAAGTAGAAGGAAGAAATTCACTGCTGTCCTCTGCTTTATCCCAGGTCCCCATCTCTACAATGGTACCGTCATCCACTCAGCTGCTCCGACCACAAACCTAGTTAACGTCCTTATCCACGCTGCCCTCGCTCCCCACATCCACTACCAGTCCTGCCAACAGCACCACCTCACCTCCTGCTCCTGCCTACTTCTCTCCAGCTCTAGACTGCCACATTTCTTCAAAGCCACCGTCATCTCCCGCACAACCACAACTTCCTAACTTGCCCCTCTGCACGGCAACTACAGTGATGTTTCTGAAACAAACCCAGGTTTTGTGACTTACTTTCCCTCCACCCTATTCTCATCTTAACACTCTTCCGCAGCTTTCACTACAAAAGCCTGAAGTCAGAATTCAAAAGACCTACAACATCTGAGCCATGACTATCTCCCCTTCATCGCTCTAGACAAACATAAAATGTGTTGGTACTGGGGTAGTGGGGTTTAAACTCAGGGCTTGCTAGGCAGGCACTCTACCATCTGAGCCATGTCCCCTTCCCTCCCTTCATCACTTTATATCCTAACACAATGCATTGCTTTCAGTCCTTCAGATCCCCAAGTTCCTCCAGTCACAGGCCCTTACACATAATTTTCCATCTAAAACTTCAAAATCCACCTTTCCATCCCTGCCCTCTAATCTTTCATTGTTAATTCCTACAAATGCCTCACACTGAGGCTTGAGCCATACTTCCTCAGCTCAGTCCAGATTAAATGGCCCCCTATTTCCTCTAGAGGCATTTGCAAAACCCACATTTTCTACTTCAGCTTTATCACACACTATCTAAAAGAAAATATTAACCTTCAAATCAGAAGACACAAAAATGCTTTCAGTACAGAAGAGACAATCTGATTTTGAAGACAGTACTTTCTAAGAATGTCTACTAAGAAAATAAGACTTTCCCAGGCTACCAAGCTGGACAGATGCTTCGGCAAATTTGGTTCAAAGCTGTTTAAAACCAGTCCAAAACACCTAACCCAAACGCCCGTCATCAGTCTTCACTAGAAATCTAGACAGCACTCAAGGTGGTCTTCACACTTGAAAAGATAAGGCAATTTTCAGTGCAATCATTCTCAACGCTTCTGTGTCAAAGACAATACTTCCTAGTGAGGGTCTGCTAGAGACGAGCCAGTGTGGGTTGCAGTGCACAAGTGCATGGGACCACCACTAGCAAGCTCTCATATAGCCATCTTTAGCTCAACTAGCAAAAACTCTGTCTTTCTTATTATCTCTTATGCTTTCTCTTCAACAAAATCGGAGAACAAGAGGGCCGAACAGGTTCTGCGTGGAAGTGGGGGCGGGGTGGGGGGAGGAGGCCCAAGCAATGTATACACATGTGAGTAAATGTAAAAATGACAAAATATTGCAGGTTGTTTTCCTTCATGAGCATCATCTCTAGCCACTGTTTTTAACGACTATTAATCCATTTCAATTTATGCTAACAGAAAACATTAAATTTTTTTTTTTTTTTTTTTTTGGGCAATACTGGGGTTTGAAATCAGGACCTCATGCTCTACCTCTTGAGCCACTCCACCAGCCCCTTTTCATGTTGAGTATTTTTGAGACAAGGTCTCACATTTGTTAATCAGGCTGGCCTCAAACCTCGATCCTCCTGATCTGCCTCTCAAGTAGCTAGGATTATAGGAGTAAGCCACCAGTGCCTGTCCTCATAAATACATTTTTAAAACCCTACCCTTTACAAAATCAGGTTACAAATTTGCATCATAAGAATCAATATCAAGACCATTAAAATGGCCTTTATCTATATGGTTAGTTAGTTGACTTTCTCAGAGACAGGTGGCTCATGTCCCACTTTTCTCTGTCGTGTAATCAGGAAATAAATCCAAGCACTAAGCTGGAACTGAATACAGGTTAATTAATATGATTGAATGATGGATTTTACTGGGATGTAACCCTGGACCTATATAGCAATGAGGGGTTAAAATACTGACAGCAAACCTCGGTGGGAACTTTATCCACCTCAGACAATAGCATAACCTAGAGACTCAAGAGGAAAGCATTCATGTACACACTCACTACTGCTGGAGTTGTACATGTCACAGAAAAGAAACACGGGTCCACCAGACTGAGACACATGGAAACCACAGATCTGTTCCTATTAAAGCATGTTCAAGCTTCTGCCTTGGTGACCTGGGAAATTACCCTCGGAACTTAAACCTGTAGAAGCCAAGCCAAACTGGTATCACATGCTTGTATAAACTATCATCGCCGTGGCTATGCACTCACCAGTTTGCTGTAGATAGAATCATCAAAATCCCAGAGGCTTACAAAAAGTTTGCACTGATTAGAATCACTTCTTGAGGAATCAAAGCAGTTACTGTTGTGGAACTGCATTTCTCAGAACTGCTCACAGAACCTCATCTACTTGAGTCATTTAAAAATAAATATAAAAAGTCTACAGGACTTCAAGCATCATTATCTCACCTTCTCTGGGCCTGTGATCATGCATCCCCTCCTTACAGTCCCTCAGCATAAAGTAAAAACGTACCCTCACATTCCACTAGGAAAGGAACGGAGATACTCATGCTCCGACATTTTTCTACATTCCCCCAAATGTTGGTACTATGTGCAATTTCTTCACACACAGGTTTTAAGGAAACCCCTGCTTACTTTTTACGGTAGTCAGCTAATGGATGTACTAGAAAAAATCGACACAAGAGCAGTAAATAGATTAAAATCCATTCTATAATACAAAAATGTTCTATGACTTCAATTTAAATACATATCAAAAGTTCTAAAAGGTTTTGTTTTCCAAAAGTGCTGATTATTAGAAGTCTCTTCAATACATTATGTCCAATTATTTTTAAAAACTAAGCCACATTGCTGACAAATATCTAAAAAGCAGGCTGAAATCACTTGTCAATTAAGCCAGCTTCCTTCATTTTACTGAGGAGTTTCTCCAGGATATTGGTGCGTTTGTACAGTCTCTCAGGGGCTGTATTCTATGCAACTGGAAAAGCTTGCTGCAAGTCTGCCATGAGTAATCTCTTAGATACATAGTACCTGTTCCCCTCATGGTTTTCAGATCCATGGGGAACCTTATACTTCATATCTCAAGTTTCTGTTCTTTTCAGATTCCACGAAGGGCCAAGCTTTGCTGGCTCTTCTCCTGCTGGAGGATGCTCTTGAGGTGAGTAAGGCTGGTCAGTCTTTAGTTCTTTACTTTTCTCCTTTCCACTCGTTTCCAGTTTGTCTAATTCCTGGAATGCTTTCTATGGGAATCTGTTGAACTCCATCTTTAAAATATAAATCAGAATAGTCTTTCCAAATCTGGGCCTGTTTTTAAACTTTTTAATTATCTCCTTCTGCTTTTTA